TTGGTGGCACTGAGAGGTTCTTATCACTCCATTTCCTTCCTAACAAAAGTCTGTACCTGTTGTCTCCTATTCTAGGCTTCCTATCTTTATGGATTTATGGCTTTTTAGAAAATCCATGTATGATAATTTTAGTCAGTTTCACTAGGAAGCAAAGGTCAACATACGCTTAATTCATACTGTGGATGGGAAAAAAAGGGGGGGCTCTATGGAAAGTAACTCACAGGCCTGTAACTTTTCTTTGGGAGGGGGTAATTTTTATTGAATTTATTGGAGTGACATTGGTTAGTAAAATTATATTGGTTGCAGGGGTAGAGTTCCCTAAGACATCATCTGTATATTGTACTATGTGTTCACCACCCAAGTGAAGTCTCCTTCCATCACCATTTATCACCCCTTTATACTCTTCTACCTTCCTCCACTCCATTCCTCTCTAGTGATCACCACACTGTTGTCGGTGAGGCCTGTAAGTTTTTAGTAAAAGGTTTCTCTATGCTTTAAGCAAGCCCTGTTCATTGTTTCTGTGAATCTAGGCTAACATACCTTTGTAATAAGCTGCAACCACCCTCAAGAGAGCGCATAATCTTGCTGAACTATAACCCAGTCCCTGCCTTGCTTCCTCCCACCTCCAGGTAACCTTCCTTATGTTCCTTCCTTCATTTTAAGTGCATAAAAGGAGCTGTAAAACTATTATTCCCTGGAGCATCTGAGAGCTTGCTCCCCAGCACATGTTATCACTTTGGCTCAAATAAACTCTTATAAGAATTCTCTGCAGGTTTGGACGTTTCTTAAGCCGACTGGACGTCCCTGTCCTGGTCTTAGTGGTTCCTGTGCCAAAGGAGCTAATCCACCAGCTCTCACCCTCAGCAGAGGTTATGGGTCCAGGCTGGCCCGAACTTCAGGAAATAAGTGTCAAACTCTCAGTGGTCCCACCGAAGCCCTGCCTAGACTGAGACCAGGAAATCACTTCTCTCCAAAGACATTCTCCTCTCTAAATTTTCTCTTAAGCACTCCTCTTCCAACTCACTAACACCCTTGTATCAATCAGGGTTCAACCAGAAAACCTGACCCCCTAGGAGAGAGAGCTGTACTAGTATATATGAAGGGATTGATTGCAAGGAATTGGCTTACGTGATTGTGGAGGCGAACCCACAGGTCAGACCAGCGGGAAGGGCGGGCTGGAAGCTGCACTCAAGGTGGGATTTCTTTTTCTTCAGAGAAGCTTGGCCCTGCTCTTAAAGCTTCTACCTGATTGCATCAGGCCTGCCAGCTTATGTAGACATCTTCCTTAAAGTCAACCGACTGTGGGTTTTAATTATAAAAATACCTTCTCTGCCACAGGTTACCTTTTGCTTGAATAAAGACTGTAGCTTAGCTAAGTTGACACATGAACGTGGCCATCACACCCATATTACGGGTTGAGTATTTTTAGAATTGTGAAACCCGTGCTTGAGTGTTTCCTTGGAAAATCTGCATCTGATCTGAGCACTCACTTTGGAATTTTGTATCTGCTATACCAATTTAATTTCCTTATGTATCATCTGGATGCTCAGCACCAAGAGAATAGTTCAGGGTAATGAGCCCCCTGAATCTCCCTGCCTCACCCTCAGTTTGTACCCCGAGTGTCTGCTCAGGGCCTCTCTTGGTCTCCCTGGTTCTTAAACTGACTGCTATGCTTTGCAGTCCTCGCCTTACACTGATGCATGTCCCGTTCCTCCTGCCTCACTCATTACCTGGCTATGCTTGGTAAGCCCCATATTATTTTTTTTAAAAAAGAATAGTTTTATGGATTTTTGAGAGATAGAGAAGAGAGAAACATTGATATTAGAGGAACATCTAATATGGGCTGCCTCCTGCACGCCTCCTCCCTGGGATCAAGCCCCAAACCTGGACACGTGCCCTGACTGAAAATAGAACTAGCAACCTGTCGGTGCAAGGGATGATACCCTACCAACGGAGCCACACCGGCCAGGCCCAGGCCCCATATCCTTGGAGAACATTTCAGGTTCCCCATCTGTTCCCGCCTCATTCAAGGAGTGAGCCCTCCTCCAGTCTGTCCTATGCTCTGTCTCTGCAGTGGAGGTGCAGTGTGGCTCTGAGCGCTGTGCGGAAAAGCACCAAGCCAGGTTGAGTCCTCCATCCCTTACTGGATGTCAGACCTCCATCCTCACAACCGCATAACTCTTATGGAACAAATGTTACTCTTGCTTACATTAGAGTTACCTCCCGTATTGGTGATATCTCCTACCCATGCCCAAGCAGGAAGCTTGGGGACAGATACTGCTCTGGTTCATGTTTCTATGGCTTCTAGCATCTGACACAATGCTTTGCCTAAAGTAGACCCTTAATAACTATTTTCTGAAATGAATGTATTTGACCGGGATCATTATTTCCCTAAGGCCCGGCTGGTGTGGCTCAGTAGTTGAGCATCGACCTATGAACCAGGATGTCACAGTTCAATTCTTGGTGGGGCCACGTGCCCAAGTTGTGGGCTTGCTTCCCAGTAGGGAATGTGCAAGAGGCAGCCGATCAATGATTCTCTCTCATCATTGATGTTTCAATCTCTCTTTCCCTCTCCCTTTGTCTCTGAAATCAGTAAAAATATATATTTTTAAAAAACAATTCTGTGAAGGAGCTGCACATATGATCTCTGAGTCAGGAAACTTGGCTTTGAGCTTACCCTTGTTAACCTCAGTTTTTCTAGCCCTCATTCTCTTCATCTTTCAAATGAGAGGTTTGGGCCAGATGATTTTCAGAGTTCCTGCTATGTTCTTAAATTCTAAGATTGTTTTAATGCCTAAAGTGAGAATGCTGGTTTGTTTTCACAGTTCCTCAAATAAACAATCTTTGCTCCGAGGAGAGAGATATGCTATTCAGAGTGACAAAGTTTGAGTTGCTGGGATGACAGTGAGCAGGCAGCCCTATCCTGCCCTAGCTTGCCCTGCTTGGGGCAGCAAGCTGCTCAAACTGCACCCAATCAGGGAGCAGGAAACTGGTCCCATGCACTCGGGTGACAGCAGGTGACGTGGGAGCAAATGAAGGGCGAGAAGAGAAACTGAAGGCACTTCCTTAAAGAGGGCAATTTCTAAGAAAGACATAATGAGTGAAGAACCGTTTCTTTGACACCACTCCTGATACGGATGACAGGAAAGCCATTACGAGTTACTGTCATTGGAAGTAGGTGTGGTGGCAAGTGGAAGCCGAGGGAAATGAAGCACAAACACAAATAAAAACACTATGAAGCTCCCTGAATCATTTCCTCGTTTCAGATAGCTGTAGCTAGACTTTATCTTTTGCCCTTGGGTTCTCTCTCTAACTTCCCCACCCCCCAACCGAGGTCTCAGAGGTCCTTATGACTAAAAAACAAAACAAAACAAAAGGCAAGGGGAGGGGAGGCTCTCGACATTTTCGAAACTCTCCCCAGTCCAAGTCCAATCACTGAAACAGAAGTTATTTCTGTGCTGTGAAACAAATAGCACGTGTGGCTCAGAGATGGGGACACAGTATTTTGATGGTCAGTTAAGACATCTTGTAATCCCACCGCGCGAATGGTCAGATTCTACCTCACTTGAGTGTAACCTCCCAGGGCCTGAGGACATGGCTCCAGTGGTGCTTGGGGACCAGTGAGTTTCGTGCTTCTGCTCCGGCCTTGTTTCTGCTGCCTTGGTGCTGCCGCAGCTACCCACGACCCGCATGGAGTTGCTGCTGCCAGGGGCACAGGCGCCCTCTGTTCTGTGAGTGACAGCCCCAACGTCACCACTCAGGCTGTGCGAAGACACTGCTCTCCCCTTAGCTAGTTTTTCTAAAGCACAAGGCAGATCCTGTCCCAACTGTTCGCGATACGACCAAGGCCAAGGTGCATTGTCTAACAGGTGCTCCAGTGCTAGGAGTCAGAGTGTGGAAGTCGAGTTGAAGAGAATGCCTTTACTCTCAATGATTTTCCTCACTTTGAACAAACCAGATTACAGTTGTCCCCCAAACGACGTAATAGTTACTGAGCACCTCTCATGTGGCAAGCACAGTGCTCTGCGTGACCTCTTCGCAACCATCTTTTTTTAAAAAAAAATCTTTATTGCCGAAACCGGTTTGGCTCAGTGGATAGAGCGTCGGCCTGCGGACTGAAGGGTCCCAGGTTCGATTCCGGTCAAGGGCATGTACCTGGGCTGCGAGCACATTCCCAGTGGGAGATGTGCAGGAGGCAGCTAATCGATGTTTCTCTTTCATCGATGTTTCTGACTCTCTATCTCTCTCCCTTTCTCTCTGTAAAAAATCAATAAAATATATTTTAAAAAAAAATCTTTATTGTTGAAAGTGCTGCAGGTGTTCCCTTTTTTCCTCATTGACTCCTTCTAGCCCACACCTGCCCCCTCCCTCTTTTTAATGACTTAAAACAACAGAAATTTATTATCTTAAAGTTCTAGAGGTCTGAAGTCTGAAATGAGTCTCACTGGGCTCAAGTCAAGGTGGCAGTAGGTCCGGGCTCCTTTTGGGGGACCATCTGTTCCCTTGCTCTTTCTGGCTTCTAGAGGCTTCCCAGGCTCACAGGTTGGGGCCTCTTCCTCCAGCTTCGAAACCAGCAGCGGGCGATGGGTCGAATATTTCTCACAGTTCTTCCAAGAGACAGATGGTTCTTCTTCTTTTTTTAAATACGCTTTTTTAAAAATTGATTTTAGACAGAGAGGCGGGGAGAAACATCAGCCGCCTCCTGCACGCCCCCTACTGGGGATCAAGCCCACAACCCAGGCATGTGCCCTGACCCGGAATCCAACCTGGGTGCACCAGATGATGCGCCACCAACTGAGCCACCCCGGCCAGGGCCAGATTATTCTTCTGCTGTCCTGTCTCCTTCTCTGACTCCACAACAACGATCTTTGAAACCATTTGGAGATCAACAAACCAGCATTGTTTACAGGGATTTCAGTGGAGGGCTGTCTTACCAGAGGGACCCAGGGTTTTTCCCACCACAAACGCTGCACAGACCGAAAATCAAATGTCAACATAGCTTTCAAAAATAGCGTCCACTTTATCAAAAGGCTTTTGGGAGAAATTTCTTCCAATAAGAAACTCTCCCACTTCACTTACAGTTGATTTCAGTTTATAAAAATAAATGGAATAGCAAGAGTTTTCAGGAATGGTTAGCTTATAAAAACAAACAGGTTCACTTACAGTTTAAAGGTGTGTGTGTGTGTGTGTGTGTGTGTGTGTGTGTGTGTGTGTGTGTTTTTAAATAACAGGTGCTAATGCCATGAAAGTTCATACAAGACTCTTAAAACTAATATTTTATTCAATTATTTACATAGCAGTCATTGTGAGCATATTTGCTTCATATACTGCTCTCTCTTCACCACCTCGATTTCTCCACCTGAAATATGGGGAAATTTGCCTGGTTTGGAAATTTACTTTGGGGAACTATAAGGGCCATGCTTCTCCTTTTACCCCTAGGTAGTAGCGTCAGCCTGTTTTGGATTAAGGAGCTATTTCTCACATAAGAAAAAATGAGTTGACTGTATTAAGGATAGCCTGTTCAGGCCTGTCCTTGCAAGAATCAGAGTTTCCAGTCCTCACCTTCCATCTGCTTCGAATCTCTGAAATTGTGTCTCATGTAATAGATTGCAAATCAACTTACCTTTATTCCCCGAAACAAGAATATTTCCTCTCTATCTCCTCCACCCGAAGAGTCTAAGAACTCAGTGCCAAGCTTTCCAAACACCAGCTAGAGAGAGAGATTCGTGTCTGCCTGCTCTGTGGCTGTGCTTCCACCACAGGGAGTGGCTGCTGAGTGCCAGATTCCGTGTTCTGTGTGAGCAGCTCTTATGCTCAGATATTCACTGAGCGCCTTCTATGAACCAGACCCGGGGGCTGGGCACAAGGATGTTGGTGGGAACACATTCGACATGGCTTCTGGCCGCCTGCGCTTTTCCCAGGATAATGGGGTGCAGGGGACGATGCCTTACTGAACCAGGGCCACAGACCGGCTGGAGGTGCTGCATGCTTGGGTTCCACAGAATCAGCTCTCCTGGGTCACATACAGGCTCACACACGACACCTGCCCACCACACGCCAGCCCCCTAGTCATCCCCATCGCTGGGAGCAATGGGGCACGGATAAGAGTCCTAACAAACAGGCCTCACTCATCCAGGCTCCCCCAGTTCACTACGCTGATCTCACACCGAACCTGCCGAGGCCAGGACCCTGGACTTCCAGCCTCCAGAACTGTGAGAAACAGATGCTTGCTGTTCCCAAGGAACCATTTTCCTCAGTTCCCCTGTGCTATCGGATTCTCACAACAAAACGCATGATGGGGCTGAGCGGAAGAATGCGGACTTTCTTACGTAATCTGTCTTTAAGTTGAAAGAAGAACCTGGTGGGGCAGGTTGCAAAGCCAGGTGATAGATAGTGTGCACATTCTCCATTGCCTCAGATTGGGAAATTCAATAAAATCAGGTTGGGGCCTGCTTTCATCTCTGGAGAGGGTACTGCCAGTATCAGCACCAACACGCCTGTAGCAGCACCAGCGCCGCCTGTAGCAGCATGCTTACTTCCAGGCTGCAGGTAACGCTGAGGCTGATGGCAGGCATCCTCTGGCCCTCTGTGAAGCACTAGGTGCACAGATCTTTATCTGAACGCCTCTCCCTCTGCCCCACCTCTGTGTCCACACCTTCCTGGGCCCTCTGCCAGGGCTGATAAGAGAACAGGAAAGTTCTGGGCACAAGGCTTCTCTCTGCCACTTACTGTGTGAGTGTGACCTTGGGCAAATTATTTAGCATCTCTGAGGTCTCCTTATCCAAAAAGTGGAGAAAGCAATACAAAGCTCACAGGATGATTGGCGAGAGCAAATAAATGACCTGCTAAGTTGGTGTCGATGAGCAGTGTTAGACAAAGGCTGCTTGGTGTTACTTTAGACTACACCAGGCTCAGCACCTCTGTGTGTCCCTTCTCACCTCCCCGTCATCCTGGCCACACCACTGCTGGGACTGGCCAGCGGGGCAGCACAGGACACCTGACACCTGCCCAGGTGGACACGTGCTCCTGACATCTAATGGCTGATCATGAAACCAGGTCTGGCTCTCATCCCGAAGCTTCTGTGGACAAGGAAGGCAGAGGAGGATCCACCCACAGCGTGGGAAGGTGGTTAGGAGTTACAAGGTGTAGGCTCGTGTGTAGGGAGAGTAAGATCATCCACATGGGACCCAATTCCAGACCTTCCCCGAGAGCCCTCAGAACTGACTTCAGGGGTAGATGGCTCCTGGAGCAAAGCAGACCCTTTATTTTTGTTTCAGCATCAAATTTATCCATCGGTAATTATCAACGGTGGTTATTCAAACTATGTATTTTAAAGTGATATTCAGCTAAAACTTTTCTATGTAGAAAATGAGCTTTAATGTTTATAAATTCTAAATAATGAGAAGAAATATACAAATCCACACAGGAAGCATTCTTGCTGAAAATGTTCAACCTGAGCATGATCATGAGGAAACAAACTTGCAGACTTCTAAAAAGATATCCATGCCATGGGAAGAAAGAAAAAAAGCAAAGGAACTTTCCTAGATTAAAATATACTAAAGAAATATAATGACTAAATGCAATATGTGAAACTTGATTGATTGATTGAAAAAAACTATATAAAATATTCTGGAAATAGTTGGAGAAATTTGATAGTGCAATATATAGATAAGAAACTGTAATTTTTTTTGGTATAAAGCTGATAATGTGATCCTATAGAAAATGTCTTTGTTCTTGAGGGATGCCGAATTGTACCAGTAAAAATAAATTTAGGAGTGAAGTATCATAATGTTTATGTTATTTTCCAGTGGTTTACCAAAAAATGTATATATTTATATATAATGTTTTATATACACACACAAAAATAGAGAGAAAAACAAGTATGGCAAAATATTAACAATGATTAATCTAGATGACAGGTATACAGGGATTCATATTACCATTCTTTCAAGTTCTTTGTAGTTTGGAAAACTTTATAGTATAAAGTTGAAGAAATTGTATCTGTGTGCTGTGCTCTTAAAATATTATATGAAGTTTTGCATTATCTTTTCATGTCATTTCTCAGTTGAGTGTATTATTGGCTACGTTTGCATACTGTATCATTGGGTTTTTTGCCCTCTTGGCTCCCAAGAAGGAACATTCCCATGATCAATGCATACCCAGCCCCGGCCACATTCCCGGCAGGAATCTGTTCACAGGTCCGCTGGCTCGCTCTCCAACATGGAGCTTGGGGGCCGCGTGCCCGGTCTCGCCGGATGTGCCCCTTGGCTGTGCCTCTTGCCATGGTGCTTCTTCGTGTGGCAAGCGTGGCCGTTGGCATGTTTCTTGGCTGCTTGCTTTTTCATCCACTGCTTAACAGTGTGGCTGTGCGGGCTGGCACAGATCCTCCGGTGCCTGACATGGAGGCTGCCGAAGAGGCAAGAAAAAGGTCACGGGTAGAAAGAACAAGGAGACGCTGACTGCCAGGCCGCTCCCACGCAGACCCCGCGGGTGCAGGCCTCCCCGCCGCCCGGCACTCACATGACCGCCGCCAAGTCGCAGTCCCCATCAGCTCTCTGGATGCGACACGTGTGCACTCTGTCCAGCAGCCGCCTGGGGACGTGATGGGAAACCGCAGTGCAGCAGCTGGAGGCGATGGGAAGTATGGCTGAACGAGGACAAGGAAGAACATGTCACACCTTACAGTTTGTAGAGCAACCGCCTGGTTCGCATCTTAAAGACTCCGGAGAGGCTGGCTGGTGTGGTTCAGTGGTTGAGCGTGGACCTCTGGACCAGGAGGTCACGGTTCAATTCCCAGTCAGGGCACAGGCCCGGGTTGTGAGTTTGATCCCCAGTGCGGGGCGTGCAGGAGGCAGCTGATCAATGATTCTCTCTCATCATTGATATTTCTTTGTTTCCCTTTTTAAAAAAATATATTTTTATTGATTTCAGAGAGGAAGGGAAGGGAGAGAGAGACAGAAACATCAATGATGAGAGAGAATCATTGATTGGCTGCTTCCTGCACAACCCCTACTGGGGATTGCGCCTGCAACCCAGGCATGTGCCCTTGGCTGGAATCGAACCTGGGACCCTTCAGTCTGCAGGCTGATGCTCCATCTACTGAGCCAAACCAGCTAGGGCTCATCATTGATATTTCTATCTCTCTCTCCTTCTTCCTTCCTCTCTGAAGTCAATAAAAGTATGTTTAAAAAAAAAAAAAAAAAGACTCCAGAGAGACAGGATGTTAATCCACTTGAGCGAGGGCAGACAGGGACCGACGGGGACCAACAGGGGCCGACGGGTGGCTTTGGTGGCAGACCCGGAGCAGGCCCTGGCTCTACCTTTCAGAACCTAAACGGAATGGGGGGAGATAAAACTAAGTACAGATGAAGCACAGACCGAGTGAAGAGCAGAAAGCCGCTCCGGACAGCCATGTGCTGGGGCTGCAGGCGGACTTGGTAAAAGGTGGAAGAAGCAGGTTGACACAGTTCTGCAGAGAGCCCCACGCGGGCCCCGGAGCAGGCTTCAAAGTCCCCAGCTGGGAAGGACTTGGCCGAATCCTGAAGAATTCAGTGGCTGGAGAAAAATGGAGACTTACCCAGACTAAAGCAAGTGCATGGTCAGGAGTCCATGAAGGCCTGGGGTGGGAGGGGGCCGCTGGAAGAGGTCAGTGAGGGGCAGGGACATATATAATACCCCGTGGTCGGCAAACTTCGGCTCTTTGGCCCCTTGAGTGTGGCTCTTCCTAAGCCTTAGGAGTACCCTAATTAAGTTAATAACAATGTACCTACCTATATAGTTTAAGTGTAAAAAATTTGGCTCTCAAAAGAAATTTCAGTCGTTGTACTGTTGATATTTGGCTCTGTTGACTAATGAGTTTGCCGACCACTGCTTTAAACCAACAAACAAAGAGTCCTGAGACTGGGAAGCACAAGGCGTAGAGAAGAGACCGCTGCCTGGATCGAGCAGCTAGGAAGGTGACGGGGAGCATGAGGCACACCACGGAGGCCTAATGTCAGCCTCCGGAGGTTTCGCTTTTATGAAATGGGACCATTCAAGAATTGAGAAAGGGGAAGGGTTTTAGGAAAACCCATGTTGCAGTGATAAGCAAGATGGACTAAAGTGGGGAGAGACTGCGGCAGGAAGTCAAGCTGGGGGGGCCGGCCTTACCCAGAGGTAAGGGGACGGGGGCAACACAAATGTGAAGGGAATCGCGCCCCTGCTAAGTGTGTGTCTGCAGATTCCTGCCTGCCACAGGCGCATAGCACTCTCCTGGCTTCCCATTTCACCAAGTGGCTAGTTACACAGCGGTTCTCCACCTGGGCTGCACATTAGAATCACCTGGGAATCTTCTTAAAATCCTGATTTCTGGGCCTCATCCTCCGGAAATTCTGTTTCTTTGTTACTAATGTTGTGGCCTCACCCCATAACAAAGAAACAGAATTTCCGGAGGATGAGGCCCAGAAATCAGGATTTTAAAAAGATTCCCAGGTGATTCTAATGTGCAGCCAAGGTTGAGAACCAGTGGGCTAGTAATTTCTTTTAAAAAAAAATTAGAAATTAAAACCAAGAGGCTGCAGGTGCAGCCTGGTAATAACAGAGGTTAGAATGAGAGGCTGAAAGAAATGATTTAAGCTGCTCTATGGTGTCAGCTGTAAGCAATAGAAGTGCCTGCCCTCTGGAGGGGAGAATACCTCTGAGTCCATGCTCCACCCACATGGAGACAGGCTCCTCACAGCGATGGAGTAGAGAGGTCATGAAATAAGGATATCGAGGTGACTCACTCTCTGGGCACCAAAATTTTCCACTGCCATTCATTCATCTATTCATTTCATCTTTTAAAATATATTTTTATTGATTTCAGAGAGGAAGGGAGAGAGAGAGAGAGAAAGAGAGATCAATGATGAGAGAGAATCATTAATCAGCTGCCTCGAGCCTGCAACCCCAGCATATGCCCTTGACCAGAATCGAACCCGGGACCCTTCAGTTCGCAGGCCGACACTCTATCCACTGAGCCAAACCAGCTAAGACTAACCATTTAATTATTCAATAAACATTCACCGAACAGTTCCAGGCACAATGATACTCACTGGGGGATTCAAAAAATACATAAAACAATATGTCCCTGTCCTCAAGAGGCTGTGGTAGAGGAGACAGACTTGGAACTAAATGCTCAGGGAATAGCCGCAATGGCGCACTGTAACTGCACTTCTCAAATCTGTGCTTCTGGGGCTTCCACAAGCATAAAGACAGGGGCATAGGCATTCCCTAGAGCAAAACATCAGAGACCATCTGTGTGTCTACCAGTAGTTAAATACATAATGGTACATTATAAGGATGAGATAGGTCTATATATGTTAACACACGAATTCCATAATTTATTAAGTGCAAAAAGCAAATTTCAATATAAGAACTACAAATGATTCCGTCTTCATTAAAAATATACATACACACACAGAGGAAAAGATGTGGAAATATTTAGCCCCAATTTATAAGAAAAGACTACTTCTAGAAAGGGGACACATTTTCAACTAGCCTGAAATACCTGTGATTTTTTAAAACTTTCAGTGCTAGGCAGATTGGAACAAATCCTATAGAAACACAGAAGACTACAGAACACCACCCAGGGAGGATGGGAGGTGCTGGGGTTCTTGTCCCAGCATCAAGAAGGGTTCAGGAATCTGGAAAGGGGGCTGTGCGTAGATGACATAGGAATCCAGAGACTAATAAAGAATCCGGAGACGAGATATAATTTTGAAAGGCATTGGGGGTCAGAGGACCTTCAGCTAAAGGAACTGAAGGCTCCCTCCTTGTCTAGGACCCTTGCTTTTATTAACACAATTTGTCCTAAGGCAAGGTGGAGATAATACACTTCAAAGGGTAAGGTTTCAAAGGGTACAGAGGCGTTGTCAGTCTGGGGAATAGCCTACGGCTGTTCAGGTGTTGGGCCAGTAGGAGGCAATAACATGTAGATTAAGATGCCCTTTAACTGTCTGGCAGCCACAATCAGGTTTGGGGAAATGCCTTTAGCCATTCCCAACAGGTGACTACATGTGTGACTCAACCCTGTTGAGTCCCCAAGTTTCATCAACCTTTTGATGAAACTCTTGAAATTATGACATGCTGGAATTGGTCTACAGCAGGGAGGCATCAAAGGACGTGAAGTTTGGACTCAGTTTTGGAGGAGGGGTCAGCATTCACTGGTTGAAATGGGTGGGTGGGGGTGGCGGGGAGGAACATTCCAAGTAGCAGGAACTTCATACCCAGAACCCTGGTGTGGAAGAGAACAGAAGACTGTTCATCTCACAGAATCTGAGTCACATTTGAGGAATCTGGTGTCTTAAACAGGGACAAGTCTCCTCTGGCAAGATTCTTATCAACAACAGTCCAAGGAGCAGGCTCGGCAGTGCCTCCGGGCCTTGTCCAGGGCCTGGGGAAAGTGCCTTGACCTTGGTCCCAGACCCTCAAGGACGATCTGTGTCATGTTCACTGGAGCTCTCTCCCTCCAGAAAGAAAGACTTGCACCTGCTCCCTCGCCCGCCTGTCCTCACAGCTCAGGGCTGCTCCTTTCGGGACAGAATCTCGGCTTGATGTAAATCAGTGACAACCTAGCTGCAGCCCAGGACATCTATATCTCAGTTCTCAGGGAATGAACACATACATACAACCTCCAAGTAGACATTAATTATATATCTACCCGAATTCATTTACAAAAATGTATGTCTTCAATGACGACTAAACCATGAGTTTAAATGAATAGATGTCGTTGGAATACACCCACATAAGACAAATAAATTGTTACGTTCTGCTCAGCCTCACTTCTGTTCTCAGCTGGTGACACCCAGGCCCGCGGCAGCCCAAGAAAGGAAAACGTTGACATTGCCCAGGCAAGCTATTTCATGCCGCAGGGATCTCTCCGCTTCCCTCTCAACCTAGAGCCAGTGAGAACTTTCCGAGCTGTTACGGGTGTAAGGAGTGTGTGTAAGGCGCACCCAACGCCCCCCAACCAGATCCCCTGGAATAGGAAAAGCATCGTTCATTCAGCAAACAGGCATCGAGGGCCCCTCTGTGCCAGCCCTGAACTCTGCGTCAGAAGTAAACTGGGCATAGTGTCTGCCCTCGAGGGAGGAAGGCAGTTAAACGAGTCATCACAACACGGCTAACATGCTGACAGGCGTTCACCGGGTGGTGGGGTTATAAGGGGCAGAAGCCAGATTCCAAGAGCCACTTACTGTCTGACTCCGTTTATGCCAGGGTCCAACCCCAGCGGGTCCAGGGGTCCCCAAAGGTGTAGACGGAGTCGACGAAGAAGGAAGGACACGGAGATAGTGTTCAGTTGATCAGCAGGCTAGCCAGGATCTCCATCCAGGATCTCCAGCCAAGTTCTGGTCTGGATCTCCAGCGAAGTTCTGGTTAGGATCTCCTGCCAGGGTCTGTGTCCATGTTCTCTTGCTAGGTTCTCCAGCCAGGTTCTGTAGCCATGTTCCCTTGCTAGATTCTCCAGCCAGGTTCTGTCCAGGTTCTCCAGCCAGGTTCAGTCACCAGGTTCTAGTCAGGTTCTCTTGCCAATTTCTGTAGTCAGGTTCAATGCAGGATCTTTTGCCATGTTCTCTCCAGCGAAGTTCTTCTGTCTGTGTAGGTTCCTTCTTCTGAGTTCTGTCTTCTTCGTTCTGTGTTCTGAGTTCTGTATTCTAAGTTCTGTGTTCTAAGTTCTGTGTCTTGCTGTCTTGTTGCATCTGTATTTATACCAGTTGATTCAATCCTATCAGTCTCTATTACAAAGGTTAGGGCGTTTCTTATCTTCATTCCAGGGAGTAAAGATTATGTAGCTTAAGCACGATTGTTCGTAGTTAAAGTGATTAATTACCCGCCTGGCACTTAGTTAAGAGGTTTTATTCCCTCCCTAACTTCAGGGGAAAATCCCTACCTGGGGAAACAACCTTTCTCAGAGAGGAGACCTTGGTTAAAACACATAGTGCCAAGAAGGTGAGCAAACATATTAAGAACAGAATGCCATATATGCCAGGTCCCTTGAAACAGCAAGCATGGACCGGCTCCCGGCAAATTCCCCCTTTTTCATTTTTTAAAAGCAGGCATTAAAAAGAAAAACCCCAAAATGCTCTCTTGTATCCATTTTAAGAGTAGGATTGGCACTTTCCACTATTACCTGAGTCCTGATCTATCACCCCAGGGAGAGCTTGCCAATCCTGCACTTTCCCAGGGTGGAAAGGCTGCAGTGGGGTTAAGGATAAGGCTCCTTGGGCCTACCTCCTCCCATGCCTTTACATTTACCTTTCCTTCCTCAGAAAAGCATGGACATACTTCTTGTATAAAACGTTCTGTCTGACTGGGAGTAACCTTAATTCCTCTGCTAGCAAGCATATGTGTTAAAAGATCAATGCAGAGTCTTATTTCTTTAGACTCAGTATGGCACATCTTCTTAATCTAAAGATCAATACAGAGTCTTCTTTCCTTGGACTCAGTATGGCACATCTTCTCAATCTAAGTTCTGTACTATCCACCTTCTTACCCTACTTATCCTCTATAGGGGGGTCTGCAGTACCCTGGTGGAGTCCTATCCATCCCAAGTGTGGGGTTCTCAATGGGGAGGGCTTACCTAGGGGAATCCTGTTCCAGGGGTTCCCAAAGGTGTGGATGGAGTCGGCAAAGACTATCCACCCTCTTCCTACGGTGGAGTCCTATCCATCCCGAGAGTGGGGCTTACCTAGGGGAATGGGGGGCTTACCTAAGGGTCCCTGTTTGGGCGCCATATGCCAGGGTCCAACCCCAGCAGGTCCAGGGGTCCCCAAAGGTGTAGACGGAGTCGGCGAAGAAGGAAGGACACGGAGACAGTGTTCAGTTGATCAGCAGCCTAGCCAGGATCTCCAGCCAAGTTCTGGTCTGGATCTCCAGCGAAGTTCTGCTTTGGATCTCCAGCCAGGTTCTGTGTCCATGTTCTCCAGCTAGGTTCAGTTACCAGGTTCTAGTCAGGTTCTCTTGCCAATTTCTGTAGTCAGGTTCAGTCCAGGATCTTTTGCCATGTTCTCTCGCTAGGTTCTGTCTCTAGGTTCTGAGGCCAGTTTCTGTCCAGGATCTTTTGCCATGTTCTCCTGCGAAGTTCTTCTGTCTCTAGAGAACGTTCTGTATAGGTTCTGTGCCTAGGTTCTGTCTCTCTTGGTTCCGTATTCTAAGTTCTGTCTCTTGCTGTCTTACTACATCTGTATTTATACCAGTTGATTCAATCCTACCAATCTCTATTACAAAGGTTAGGGCGTTTCTTATCTCCATTCCAGGAGGTAAAGATTATGTAGCTTAAGCATGATTGTTCGTAGTTAAAGTGATTAATTACCCACCTGGCACTAGTTAAGAGGTTTTATTCCCTCCCTAACTTCAGGGGAAAATCCCTACCTGGGGAAACAACCTTTCTCAGAGAGGAGACCTTGGTTAAAACACATAGTGCCAAGAAGGTGAGCAAACATATTAAGAACAGTATGCCATATATGCCAGGTCCCTTGAAACAGCAAGCATGGACCGGCTCCCGGCAAATTCCCCCTTTTTCATTTTTTAAAAGCAGGCATTAAAAAGAAAAAACCCCAAGTGCTCTCTTGTATCCATTTTAAGAGTAGGATTGGCACTTTCCGATATTACCTAAGTCCTGATCTATCACCCCAGGGAGAGCTTGCCAATCCTGCACTTTCCCAGGGTGGAAAGGCTGCAGTGGGGTTAAGGATAAGGCTCCTTGGGCCTACCTCCTCCCATGCCTTTACATTTACCTTTCCTTCCTCAGAAAAGCATGGACATACTTCTTGTATAAAACGTTCTGTCTGACTGGGAGTAACCTTAATTCCTCTGCTAGCAAGCATATGTGTTAAAAGATCAATGCAGAGTCTTATTTCTTTAGACTCAGTATGGCACATCTTCTTAATCTAAAGATCAATACAGAGTCTTCTTTCTTTGGACTCAGTATGGCACATCTTCTCAATCTAAGTTCTGTACTATCCACCTTCTTACCCTACTTATCCTCTATAGGGGGGTCTGTAGCACCCTGGTGGAGTCCTATCCGTCCTGAGTGTGGGGGTTCTCAATGGGGAGGGCTTACCTAAGGGAATCCTGTTCCAGGGTTCCCAAAGGTGTGGACGGAGTCGGCGAAGACTATCCACCCTATTCCTACGGTGGAGTCCGATCCGTCCCGACTGTGGGGTGCTTACCTAGGGGTCCCTGTTCGGGCGCCATATGCCGGGGTCCTGCCCCAGCGGGTCCAGGGGTCCCCAAAGGTGTGGACGGAGTCGGCGAAGAAGAGATGACATGGAGACAGCGTTCAGTTGATCAGCAGCCTAGCCAGGATCTCCAGCCAAGTTCTGGTCTGGATCTCCAGAGAGGTTCTGCTTAGGATCTCCAGCCAGGTTCTGTCCAGGTTCTCCAGCCAGGTTCAGTCACCAGGTTCTAGTCAGGTTCTCTTGCCAATTTCTGTAGTCAGGTTCAGTCCAGGATCTTTTGCCATGTTCTCTCCAGCGAAGTTCTTCTGTCTCTAGTTCTGTGTAGGTTCTGTGCCTCCTGGTTCTGTCTTCTCAGTTCTGTGTTCTGTGTTCTAAGTTCTGAGTTCTAAGTTCTGTCTCTCTTGGTTCCGTATTCTAAGTTCTGTGTCTTGCTGTCTTATTGCATCTGTATTTATACCAGTTGATTCAATCCTATCAGTCTCTATTACAAAGGTTAGGGCGTTTCTTATCTTCATTCCAGGGAGTAAAGATTATGTAGCTTAAGCACGATTGTTCGTAGTTAAAGTGATTAATTACCCGCCTGGCACTTAGTTAAGAGGTTTTATTCCCTCCCTAACTTCAGGGGAAAATCCCTACCTGGGGAAACAACCTTTCTCAGAGAGGAGACCTTGGTTAAAACACATAGTGCCAAGAAGGTGAGCAAACATATTAAGAACAGAATGCCATATATGCCAGGTCCCTTGAAACAGCAAGCATGGACCGGCTCCCGGCACGTTTATATGAAGTGTCCAGAACAGGCAGGTCCATAGCAACGGAAGGTGGACTAGTGGTGTCCAGGGGCTGGGATGGGGGTGGGGAGTGACTGCTTACAGGAACGGGGTCTCTTTTGGGGCCGATGAAATGCGCTGGAATTAGAGGTGACGATTGCATCATTCAGCGAAGGCACTGAAAACCACTCCATGGTGAATTTTATGGTAGGTGAATTATATTTCAACTTTATAAAAAATGCTATAGGAGAACAGCACATTGGTTGTCCTTACACTTATTAATACATTTATTTCTTCCAACTAATTGGTTATTTCCCCCTCTAGCTACGCTGTGCTGCTTATTCTCCAAGTCAAACTGTTTTAATATCCCCCCAAATTTGGGAGCTTATCCATGTGTCCATCTTACTATATAAGAATCACTATGTGAATTCTTACAGAGCGCATCACTAGCTATGTCTATATCTATGACTTCTTCTGCTTGAGTCACTATGCTAGGGATGGAGGTAGGAAGACAAAGAGTTACTAGCTTCAAAGAGCTCATACACAGACCACTGCCGGCTTGTGACCCCGGAAACCATAAAAGAGGAAACGGCTTTCTGAGTCATAAGCACGCCTGTGTGTTTAAGAGTTTGAGTTGTCTGAGTGCTGACATCAATTCGAGAAGTAGTCATGCTGGCAGATGTGACTGGTGCCCTAATGAGGAATTACGAAATACGTGTAAGGCTAGAATCCTTTGAAAGTTGTTGAGGAGTTAGGCAATGAAGAATGGTATCAGGGTGGCTTGGACTAGGGCAATGGGAAGGTTCATTTGGACAATGTCGCCCCCTAGAGGTTTTCTCACGCAGTCTTCAGTCAGAATATTTCCATTTTTAAAGGTCAGCAACTTTCTCTGATTTCCACACCGGAGAGATTTTGCAGAGGCAGTAAAGTTGAGAACGGAATTAGTTGACATTTCTTCTGCATTGACATCGTTTTTATTCATATGATGCGTTTACTTGTTTGTGGCAGCAAGCTGATAAGGAATTCGGAAAACTAAGCCTTTCTACAAAAACTTCCACCTCGAATGCCACCATTGCAGGAGGCCAGGAACCCCAAGGAAAGAACCTGCTTTTGTCCTAAAACAGGAATTCACACAGGACTTCACCCTTACTGATGCAGTAGGGGTTCCCGAGAGGGGAATGTGAGAAAATCATTGCAAATAAGAGAGAGGTCTTGCAGAGAGGGCTTGACAAAGCAGGGGGGCCCAGAGGTATGAACACACAAAGATCTGAGGTTTGTTGTGAGGCTTGATTCCCGTCACCCCTCCCCCCCACCCCGACCCCCTCCCCTAACTCTCCGGAGATGCCCCTTTGCTTTGGGAAGGACACCCCAGAGTGTCAGCCCAACAGCTCCCTGACAGGTGATTTATGAGAGCAGCCCCTGCTGGCTAAGGCCAGTCCTCTGGGGGACGAAGGTGAGCACCAGAGGGCAGGGAGTGGGTTCGCAGCACCTGCCCAGCAGGTAGGGCCTCTGACCCTGTGGGGGACCAGCCTTTCTACCCTATCAATCCACCTCGCCCCGATTCTTAGAGGGGAAGGACTCTTCTTTAGGACCCACAATTTCAGAATTACCAAGAATGTTTGGGTTGGGGAATCATGGGAGAAACCTGTCATGACTGTCAGGCAAGACCAAAACTGGTTGGGGGAGGGGGATCAAACCATCATAATGTCAGGGGCCAGTGAAGCCCAGACCAGACAGGCTCCATGCGTAACATCTGCCGGTGTATCCCCTCTCCTTGGTCTGCTCCTCAATAATTAGCATTTCTCAAAGCTCCATCCATGACTTTCTACTTTTTTCTTTTTAATTATATTTTATTGATTTTTCACAGAGAGGAAGGGAGAGGGGCAGAGTTAGAAACATCGATGAGAGAGAAACATCGATCTGCTGCCTCCTGCACACCCCCTACTGGAGATGTGCCACAACCAAGGTACATGCCCTTGACCGGAATCAACCTGGGACCTTTCAGTCCACAGACCGATGCTCTATCCACTGAGCCAAACCGGCTACGGCTCTACTTTTTTTCCATCTATATCTTCTCATGCTTTGTCAGTAACTTCAAAATATCTTTGTCTACTTTAACCTCTACCCCAAGACCCTGACATATATCCAACTTCTGTGCAACATGCACCTGGCTATCTCACAGGCTCCCCTAACCTAATAAATGCTCAACTGAAGACATTCTCTCCGGCCGCTTTAACTTCACTCCTCTCCTCATCTCATCTAACCATCATGTACAGTCACCCAAGCCAAAAACCCGCATGTCATTCCCACCTCCTGCACCCCACAGCCTGCCACAAACTCCTCTAAGTTTTACTTCCTGAACATTGCTCAGATTTGCCTCTCCCTTTTCATCCCTCCTCCACTGCCCAAGTTCAAGACCTCATTCATTGGCCATGGGCCTACTGAGCTCCCCAGTTGCCTCCTTTCTCCCCGTTTTGCCCATTCTCCACATGAACCTGTGGTCCCCTGGCTTCCCTGGCTTTCCTATAGAAAATTAAGGGTCATTATGACTGTCTTTTAAGACTCCCTCAGGACATCTTTCTACCCACACCACTGCAGAGTCTACAGTTAATGCTACATAAATGTCTCTTGAGCTGAACCAAGTTATGTTGTAGTCCTGTATGTCTCATTTTACCTTGTTTAAGGCTTTTAATGCCATTTGAATATTTTTTCATTCTTTTAAGAAAAAAAAGATGATCAAGGTCTTATGTACCAAATAGTGCCTTTTAGGAACATACCATCCCTCTACTCTCAAGCAGTTAGGGGTCAACTCAATATAAAATAAATTATCTGTCCATTATACTTAATGTTTTAAAGATATTAGTATCTCATGAAATGCATTACTATTTGTCTTATTAACTATGGTGTTATTGCTATCGATTCTGTTGGTTCTGAGTTGTTATCATTGTGGTTTCCAGTATTAAGTGGAATGAGTGACTTGCTATGACCATCCCTGATTTGGTTCTGTCAATTGATCCCCTTCACCCCCAGCCGCTCCCCTAACCCTTGGTCACTAAAGGCCTTAGAGAGTTCTATGTTCAAGACATACTAAGAGGAACTCTAAGGCACTACACATCAAACCTGGGGTATAAAAATTAGTTTCTGGGTTTTAGGGAAAGGATCCTGTTACTGTAGAGACGTAAACCAGCTTCCTCTCTTCCTTGGATATATTGCACAATCTCTTGCTACTCACATGTGGTCCCCAGAGCTGCAGCAATGGCATCAGTCGGGGGCTTATCAGAAATGCACTGGTATAAAGGGCACAGCAACATGAAAACAGGGCAAAGACACCTGCTATTGCTGGAGAGAGGACTCCCGGGTAAAGAAGATATGATGAGAAAGATTCACTTGGCTGCTGGCAGTATCTCAAGTCTATGACTGCAATTTAAGAAGGGCAGTGCATAAATAACACAATGAGCCGAATGTGGCTGGTTAGAGACACACTTCCCCATTCTGGTGGACTTCATGCCTTATGGAGACATGTCACACATCACACATGGATGCCTACAAACAAAGGTGTCCTTTGCTGCCACCAAGCAGGCAGGAAGGACTCACCAAGCCATGATGCACGAAATGCTAAGCCCAAATAAAGTCCTCCCTGGTGCTTTCTGGAACCTGGGATAATGTTTGGGTAATGGAGAATGATGAGGGTTTTTCTTTGCCTTAATATGAAGCCTCTTGGCCCCCAGCACTTCCCACAGCATGGACACGGGAGTGGCCAGGGGGTAGCCCAGAAGGGGGCGGGTGATTCGGGGCCGCAGAGATACACTGAGAGGTGTGACCGCACAGTTGAGCAAATGGAGACAGCCAACCAGGTTCGATTCCTGGCTCTGCCACATACTAGCTGATGCTGGGTGAGTTACTTAATTCTCTGTGTCTCCGTTTCTTTGTCTGTAATATTGGGGATGGGTAATAGCACTACTTTACAGGGTTGCTGTGAAGATTGCATGAGCTTGTACACTTAAGTGCTTAGACCAGGAGTGACAAATAGTACATACCCAATAAGTGGACACAAACAGAAAAAAACACATCCGGAGGCCAACATGCAGCACAGTCCCTGCCCCACAGTAGGCACCCGGGTGTCTATTCGGTGCCTGTGGGATGTGTCGATCGATGTATTGCCCCTCCACTTCAAAGTCATCCTACTGGCCAATTCTGTGAAATTAAAATGAAGATGGGCCCCTGAACGACGTTTCCTTCGCCAGCTGTCGTGCCGTTGCACTTTGTCGGCAGAGGGCGCTAGAGAGACATTGCAGGGAGAGGAGTTTTCCTGGCTCAAGCAAGGGCACTTCTCTAGCACCAGGCTCTGGAGAGCACAGCAGCCAGCAGCGCCCCCTCCCGGTGGCTTCGGAGCCGAGCGCCTCCCCTGAGACAACTCCGTGGGAAGAACTTCCCCCTGCAAACTGGGGGGCTGACCAAGTGATTTTTTCCGCCCTTAGGTAAGCCATGGCTGTGCCGTCTCCAAGGTCTGGAGCTCAGTCGGTAAGCTAAAGGGTGCAGGATCCCTCCCTTGAAAACTGTGCAGAACAACTTCTGAGCACAAAGGTGTATTCTTGAGAACCCTCCCTAGCAAGTCTCCTGTGGTTAAAACAAACAAAAGCTACTTTTCTTTAAGGAAGCAAACAGCGCGTCTCCAGCAAGTATCTGTGCAGTGAGGAGCCATCCTAACTGAGGCCGTGGGTTGCCAGTCAGAGGGAATCCCCGCCTGCACCTGGTGGACACAGCCAGGCCCCCAAAGCCTGGGACCGTGGCTCTAGTAATCTGGCTCAGGGCCCAGAGAGTGCACGAGAGACATTTTTATGGGCTCAACATTGAGTTCTGGGAAATATGTTTTCCCACACAGTGGGTTTTCTTGTTGTTTTGTTGATGGTTTCTTTTGCTGTGCAGAAGCTTTTGATTTTGATGTAGTCCCATTTGTTTATTTTCTCTTTAGTTTCCAATGTCCTAGGAGCTGTATCGGTGAAGAAATTGCTTCGGCATATGTCTGAGATTTTGTTGCCTTTGGATTTTTCTAGTATTTGTATGGTTTCCCGTCGTACACTTAAGTCCTTTATCCATTTTGAGTTTATTTTTGTGTATGGTGTAAGTTGGTGGTCTAGTTTCATTTTCTTGCATGTATCTGTCCAATTTTCCCAACACCATTTATTGAAGAGACTATCTTGGCTCCATTGTATGTTCTTGCCTCCTTTGTCAATTATTAATTGAGCGTATTGGTTGGGGCTGATTTCTGGGCTCTCTATTCTATTCCATTGATCTATATGCCTATTCTTGTGCCAGTACCAGGCAGTTTTGAGAACAGTGGCTGGGAGCCGGTAGCTGTGTCAGCAGGTGTGGAGTATGCCCTCTTGTCTTTGGGTGGAATCCAAGGCTTTTAACTGTGGGCAAGTCGGCTGTTTCCTGATTGATCCCGAACACTTTGGGAATGCCAATCACTGGGCCATCACACCAGAGTGGCCATTAAAGGGACCATTAAGATAAGGGAACAGTTAATGCCTAGAGGAACAACATGTGTTTCCCCAGGTCCCAAGCTGGCGCAGGCCACTTCCCTCTTCCCTCCCCCAGCCTGGACAATGGCCAAGGCCACTCAGTGTCCCTCCCTCCTCCCCCGCTCCCTCCCGGGCCTTCCCCAGCCTGCCCGGCTGAACCCCTGCCAGCCTCCACAGGGCACCTGCGACACAGACCCTGACGGTGGCCACGGGAAGCAGTGGGGCTGCCCCTCTCAGTTCCACAGCTGGTCTCGGGCCTACCCTCCATATTTTAACCCATCACTTACTTTGAAAGGGCAGAGGTGAGGGCTTCTCAGACAATGTGATTTTCCTCGGCCCAAACGGCCTTAGGGAAAGCCCTGAGATTAGCCGAAAAAGCTACTGTCAACTTCTCCTGGCTCCCTTTCTTTCTTTCACCACCACTGTTCCTTTGCTTTAAAAAATAAATAAATTTACTAAAAAAATTTAAACTTTTTTTTTTTTATTGATTTAAGAGTGATAGAGAGAAATAGAAACATCAATGACGACAGAGAATCATTGGCCTGCTACCTCCTGCACACCCCACACTGGGGATCGAGCCCACAACCCGACCGGGAATGAAACCGTGACCTCTTGGTTCATAGGTCGACACTCAACCACTGAGCCATGCTGGCCGGGCACCACTGTTCCTTTTCAAACACCTCTGTGTGCTCCTGTCCCCTGTCTCTGCCAGAACTCAGTCCCTGGGACCCTGAGCCTTGGGCCTGGCAGGGCTTCTCATTGCCCTGTGCTCTCCGCCTGCCCTCCCTCCCCGGTCCTGCAGGCCGTGCGGCCCCTGCTGCTGTGGGGAGAGCTGGAACCGGGTCAGGAGGCCGAAGAGAGATACTTATGTGAATAAACATTTGCCAAAACAAACTAGTTTAGATAAAGCCTCAGCAGGCAGACCTTTGAGAAACAGTGAAAGGGAACCCTAAAATTTCAATGGTGAATTTTTCTGAAAAATTTTACAGAAACATATGAAAACCTTTTGTCTTTGTCTTGATAAAATAGACGGATAGGAATGAAGAAGAGATTGATCGGATTTTTCCTGTTCTCGGTAACCTACATCCAGAGCACAGTGCACCTCATTGGAGCCCCCAGACGCAGGCCACCAGGAAGCAGCAGTGCATTGTGGCCAGACCTGATTGTTCAATAGGAGATTTAAAATCCAATTTGCATACATGTATGTGTGAAATTGGTCTGTTGGCTTTTACATTTTCAAAAGCAGATCAAATAAAACTCATACTTCACGTCTGGTCTGGATTTAGAGAATCTTTGCAGGGTAAAGTTTCAGAGAAGGAGATGGGGACAAAAGCGAGAGCTCAGTCAAGCTTTAAGCACCTACGTTCGGGTTTCCTAAACACAGTAGAAAAGATCGCCTCCAGTCCAAACGCAGTTATCATCTCCATCTATGTGTTAGCAGCTCACTGTTTAAGTTCTCTTGGTTATAATTTGTATAGGTCAGTCTCCCACATACCCCCCCCCCTTTTAAAAAAATATTTTTTATTGATTTCAGAGAATAGGGGAGAGGGAGAGAGAGATTGAAACATCAATTATGAGAATCATTGATTGGCTGCCTCTTGCATGCCCCTACTGGGGGTTGAGCCCGCTACCCGAGCATGTGCCCCTGACTGGAAGTGAACCTCGGACTCTTCAGTCCACAGGCTGATGCTCTATCCACTGAGCCAAACCAGCTAGGGCCTGCATCCCTTTTTAAGGTCCGAGTGAAGCTTTGGTTTTCAGCATCTACAGAGCTGACTGTGTCCACAAAACTTGCAACTTCCCAAACCCTAAAGAGTCTGTCTTCTTCCAGGAACATGCACCTTGCACGCAGACAGTGTAGCAGGTTGGGGGGGAGGGGGCGACGGATGAATAAGAGGGGCTCTGCCCCCAACCTCTCCCTGGAGATTTTCTAAGACTCTCTCCTCAGAAAAGAAAACGCAGCCCAAAGTTGACCTCATCTACCAGGTAAGCAAATCACTAACACGCCTGTTCACATGAGGTTCCTTCCTGAACATTCTTGGAGATCGGGAATTGATCAGGAATATGCCAATCTCTTGGAGATCACTGGCAATTCCTAGCTGGAGTCAGAAATGCCTGCTCCAAATTGCTGGCAGCCCCTCTATTCTGGGAGGCACCCCGCTTCCACTGGAGGCTTGGAAGCAGGCACCCCGCTTACCTGCGGAGGGGCGAAGAGCAGCCCAGGCAGCCAAGGCGAGGAGCGCGAGTCCCGTCTGCTGCATTCCTGCCTGTCCCCCGCTTAGGCAGCGCCGCAGGCAGGCGAGGCTGTCAAGTCAGGAAATGAGGCTAAAGGTGTCCTTGGGTGCCGAGAACCAGCAGAAGGAAAAGGAAGCCAGGAGGCCCCGCCCGGGCAGGTGCTGGGGAACCTATTTCTCAGGTTTCTTTCCTGGCCACCAGGCTCCTTTTTGAGACCAGGCCTGCTTTCCACTGCTGGGCTCAGGCGGGGTCAGTGGCCATCTGACAGCTGGTGAGGTTATTGCGAGTTGCGGGTGTGGGCCAGTCACCTGGAAACAATTAAAAAATAAAATACAATAGCTCTCTGCAAAAACTCCTCCATGGACCTATACATCAGAATTTGGGAGCAGGAGGCCAGGAATTTGAATTTTAGAAAGCTCCCGAGGTGATTCTGAGGGACTCCTCCAAGGAGAGCCACTGCATAAAGAAATCTGTTTTTAAATTGCTGGTTGAAACTAAAAGTTTCTGGGGACAAGGGTGACAAATCATAAAAAAAACAACATTATCTGGTGGAAAGATACGAAACAATTCAACCCCACTCTGGTCTTGGTTTGCAGCCAAATTGCTTTTCCAGTGAAGCTGTTAGTTTTACAATGGTTCTCAACCTTCCTAATGCTGCGACCCTTTAATACAGTTCCTCATGTTGTGGTGACCCCCAATTTCATTGTTACAAATTGAACATAATTAAAGCATAGTGATTGATCACAAAAACAAGATGTAATTATATATGTGTTTTCCGATGGTCTTAGGCGACCCCTGTGAAAGGGTCGTTCGACCCCCAAAGGGGTCGCGCCCCACAAGTTGTGAACCTCTGGTTTAGGAGAAAGGTAGCACAGGTCCAGGGGCCTCTTGCCTGTGGGCGGGGCCTGGTAGGAAGGAGCCTAGAGCAGGTGTGGGAGGTAGAGCTATTGATCAGCTCTTATCTTCTAAGATAGTGGTTCTCAACCTTGGCTGCACATTAGAATCACCTGGGAATCTTTTTAAAATCCTGATGTCTGGGCCTCATCCTCTGGAAATTCTGTTTCTTTGTTACTAATGTTGTGGCCTCCCCCCCCCCAATAACAAAGAAACAGAATTTCCGGAGGATGAGGCCCAGAAATCAGGATTTTAAAAAGATTCCCAGGTGATTCTAATGTGCAGCCAAGGTTGAGAACCACTGTTAAGAAAACAGATGTAACCATGCAGCCATTCATTCATTCAGCAAAAATGTACTGAGTCCCCACCTTGCACTGAAGACAAAGCAAGAGACAGAAAGGATGGCTCTGCCCTTCAGGAACCCAGGCTGGTTCAGGGGAAGAGAAAGAGAACCAACCATTTCAATGTTAATCCCTGTGGTAGGTTCCACCCTCTGTGTTCCTCCGGCGAGTGTCATTACTCTCTGGAAGTGGGGAAAACCAAGACAACCATTCTTTCAGGTCTTCAGCCGGGTCTTTGTCTTGCCTGGGATTGAGGCTTCCTACCACCCAAATCCTCAAATTGAAGGCTTCCATTGCATTAAAATTAGGAATGCAGTTCCCAAGCTGTGTGCCGAGGAACCCCAGGTCACCAAAACAAACTGCTAGGGGGCTGTGGCCTAGTCTAAATGAGTGAGGGAAACACAGGGACAGCTGTTGTTCACCACACAGCTACTCCCACTGGGTCATCTGGATCTAACTAGATAACAGGAATTAGCTGCTATTTCTTTTGGCGGCGTGGTGCCGTGAAAAATCACTGAGACATTAAGAACACCTGTCAGCCAAACGTTTGGGAACCTCTGCAGTACCTCGTCTATCAGTTTTCCTGACACTTCCTTATGGCTTTCTCCCCAAAGGCAACACACACAGTTTGAGCCCTTCTTCCTCTGGGCAAGGCCTTATCACCTGGGCCTCCTGCAGGAATTTCTCAGGGGGCTACAGAGGGCACCCTAGGGTGGGCACCGGATCCCCTCTCTCCCCACAGCAGCCCCAGAATATTAGTTACCAAGAAGCCAATGCAAAGAGATGTTAGTGAGCAGACAGGGCTTTCTCCTCTCACCAGGGATGCAAATGGAAATTCATTTTGGGGTGTTGAGCTGACCACAGCCTTCCCAACATCTCCACCTGGTGCTGAGCAGCCATAACTGGGCAGAGGGGCAAAGGACAGGGATGCAAAATCCTCCCAGAGGCCTGGGGAAGACGGAGAATGATTTCCCCAGGGAGGTGCCAGACCCCGGGGGAGGGAGCACTGAGCCCGGAGTGGTGTTCTAACTGTGAGGCTTCTCCCCCGGCCTCTGTGACGGGGTGGGGCTGAAGGAGCTGAATGAGGATGGGAAGGGGAAAGCGTTTAGCCCTGCCCCACATCACACTGTGGGGACCACAGACCGGAGGCTGCGGAAGGCTGCACGGAGGGAGCCCTCACTCTTCCCTGGAGACTGGGCTGGGACAGCACATATTGGAGTTGGGTCTTGAATGGAGAGTTAGAGCGACCCAGAGTCTTGTCCACCCTTAGAACATTCGTCTTTAATAGGAGGCCTGCTACATAGGAACACATTAAACATTTGTTCAGTGGCTGGCTGAGTCAGTGTTAGGTGAGGGCAAGTATTATATTCATTTTCATCCAAAGGAACTATGAATGTTTAATTGACAATGTTTTATGAATTTAAATTTTTATTTTTTTATGGAGAATAGAAAAAGTGTTTGTATAAAGATTCAATAGTTCTACATGGAGAAGATAGAAGAGAAATACAACTATATGTGTTAATAGCACAGGGTTGGGGCAGGGGGAAGAAGGACATTAAGATCCCAAGATTAAACTTAACTTCTGACAAGGTGAGTTGGAGGTCATTGCCAGGAGTTCGAGGAGCCCGCCATTACTGGGGCAAGAAGCAGGGATTCTAGGAAGTGAGAGTGGGAAGGGAATCTTGGGCAACATCTGCCCTATTTCTCATCAGCTCAGAAAGGGTGAGTGACTTGTCCAAAGACACCTGGGCTAGATTCCGGTCCAGTGCACAGGAGTCAAGAGAGCAGTCTTGGGTATGTGGGGTGAGGGGTGGCTTGCCAGCCCATATCAAACAAACAAAACCACCACCAACAAAATAAAAAGTAAAAACAAGGGTAAACAGAATAATGGCCCCCAAAGATCTCCACACCCCGGTCCCTGGAACCTGTGGGTGTGTGGCCTCACCGGGCAACAGCAGCTTTGTCAATGTGGCTAGGAACCTGGAGATGCGGCGTTTATCCTGGTTGTCCAGGTGAGCCCAACCAATCACAGGGTCCTTCAGTCAGAGAACCTTCCCCAGCGGTGGTCGGCGGGAGACGGGCTACAGCAGGACCAGGGAGATGCAGTGTGAAAGGAAGCGGACCTGAGCACGGCTGGCTCTGAAGGTGGGATGAGGAGCCACACGCCCAGGAATGCAGGTGGCCTCTGGGAGCTGAGAGACACTTTCCCCTGGAACCAGCCCTGCTGATGCCTGATTCTGACCCACTGAGACCCGTGTTGGATTTCAAATATAAAGATAATACCTGTGTCTTGTTTTAAACCACTGAGTTTATGGTGATTTGTCACAGCATTAAAAGCAGGGTGATACAGGACACACACACACACTGTAACCTCGAAGTGGGCCAAACAGCTTCCCCTCTCCCTTCCATCCTTTCTTCTCACTCTTTTGTAATATGTTTGCATGTTCGAAGCTCCCCTGCGGTTATTTTAATCCCATTTCACCTGGATGGATGTGTCAGGATGGGAGCCTGAGGCTGGCTGAGTGACTTGCTCTGGGCCTCGGGCCCTAGGAGTGGCAGAGCCCTTTCCAGGATTGGCCCCGGGAGTGTGCCACTCTTTTCGAGGCCGGATTGACCAACGGCAGCCCTGTGCCAACCCACTCAGAATCCAGGGAAACGTCAGCCAAGAAACCAGGCCAGACACTGAGGCCATTGTTACAGCCGAGCAAACAGCCTGAGGTCAAGGAAGAGGGAAGTGTGGTGTGTACTCATGGCTCTCCAAGAAGAAGGGCCTCACCGCCTACAGCGTCCTCACAGCAGGGGCTCAGGATACTTGAAAAAGCTCCAGCCACTCCCTGTGGTTGTGTACAATGGCTGCAGGCAGCTGGGTAAGACCACTGACATTTACAGACCTTACCCTCTCCCTCTCTGTTATGTCACACTATCCGCGTTTTATACACTATTTAGCGTCACCCGAACATTTAGGGAAAATTTTCTCCCTGCCTTCGCTCTATGTGATTGGGTGGTATCACTGACCTGGAGCCTGGAGGGTGGCGGGGGGGGGGGGGGGGTGGTTGGGAGGGGGGAGTGTTTCTAATGAAATCAAATCAGTATTAGGTGAGTACAGGTGTGTGAATCAGGGGGTGTTTTCTTTGAAAACACATAGATGTCTGAGGGAGATCAGAGAATGTGTTCAGGTGATTATGGAGCCGATGGGGTTGGACGGCTACCCAGACCTCCGAAGCAACATTACAGAGTATCGCTGCGAAGGTAAACCCAACAACTTCTCGAGAGGTCAGTCAAAAGGGTCCAGTGCTTCAGAAACCCTTTCTTATCGTTATTCCTGGTACGTAAACAAATGTCACGGGGACACATGTGGCAATGCCTTGGATTTATGCAAAGTAACTGGAGAATGATTATTCACAGGATTCTTCAGACCAGGGAAGGCTGTGAGCCTCCGGCTGGGGCTTGGATCGAATACGGGTCTTGGAATACTCCTGGAGTCTGGGGAAATAAAGTTACGTAACAGTCCAAGCATGTGGGTCTAATGGAGGTGGTGAATCCCAAGTGGAAACAGAGAAGCAGGTCAACAGCTTGCAGACCCCCTGGGACAGTGAGTGTCAGTCAGCTGCTCAGGTCAGACCAGACCTGCCCGCAGCCTGAGGACTGCACTTATTTTTTTAAAATATATTTTTAGTGATTTTAGAGAGAAAGGGAGAGGGAGAATCATTGATCGGCTGCCTCCTGCACACCCCCTACTGGGGATGGAGCCCACAGAATCGAACCGTGACTTCCTGGTTCATAGGTTGGTGCTCACTGAGCCGTCAAGTGGGGCAAGGACTCTGCACTTACAATAGAAAAATGAAAATACCTACTTTACAAATATGGACCCATACTGTTCCACTGCTAGTTTTTACTTTTCCATGAAGATAATTTTACATACCATTTCAGGGGGCTACTTCACCCATTAGTATTCCACTGCTTGTACCATCAGTTAGGTGCTAACTCTCTAGTTAAAGACTTTCAAGTGGTTTTTAGGTGTGGGTTTTTGTTGTTGTTGTTTTTTTTTCATTTTAAGCAGCCAAAAAAAGTATTTTTCCTTTGTATATGTACCTCTTTAGTTCTTTAGAATAAATTCCTAGAGTTGGAATTTGGAATTTCTGGGTTAAATGGCTTAAAAACACATTACCAAATTCCCTCGGCAAGAAAGTATGAGTTTGTTGTCATGCCAACAATGCTTATATGCTTACACTCTGCCAACACTGAACGTTATCAATCTTTCTAAAGTTTGCCAAACTGAGAATCAAAACAACTCCCTGCTGTTTTCTCTTACATTTTAATTAGATTCAGTGCTTTGAGGTTTACATTTAAATAAAGGTTTATTTCTATAACATAGTTACAATAGTTATAATAACTTGCAATAATTAGAAATAAGCATTTCTTGATGTCTCTGAGAGGCAAAAATTACCCTAATAACAAAATAATATCTGTAAATTCATAACAAAACTAAATCAAAATCCACCCCTTACCACATTCTAACATATTCCACTAGAATTAAATATAGTATGTCTTTTGTCACATGAAACAGACATTAAAAATATAGTAACTGTTTTGAAGAGAAGTGGCAAACAGCATTTCTCAGGAGAGCCTAAGATTAAGAACATTCATCATTGCGGAATGACTTATAAGCTAATCTGCATCAAGGCAAAATAATAACTAGATTTCTCTGAGGTCCTGTGATGGTACAATTTTGTGTTCAGTGAGTCACATAATGAAAAGAGGGAATCAGTGATTAGAAAAAGAAACTCCTTATGGGCTATGGCTTCATGATTTGAGTCCGGAGGAGAAACCCTGGGGGAAAAAACACACACACGAGATACAAGCCAACATTCCAGCTCATGTACTGACACAAACTCCTTCACTAAGAAAAGGAACACAGTGGCAGCTGGGAATGGGAATTTGGTTGTGAATATTTCTAGAAGTTGCAACCACAGTTTTCAGGACAAGAAACATTTCTGATGGCAGAGGTAAGAACAGAGATTAACCCACACTTAAATCTGCAGTTACTGTAGAAGCAAAGAGTCGTGGTCCAAGTGAACTCCCATTCTGATAGGAGGGTAGAACAACCCAAAGGCCGAGGTGACATTCGTGAGTAAGGCCCTATGTTTTAAAGATAGTCCTTTGCCCAACACGGAGAAAGAAAAAAAATAGAATTTTATAATTTAGTCAAAAAAAGTCGTACAAGATATATGCTTTATGTCCATCGGTTTCTGAAATCATATGCTTTTTAAAAATCTTGACCTTATTCAAGTTTACCCCCACAATATAATATTTGCCATTAAACCAACCAAACTGCCACACTAATTGCTCTCAAAAGATAATAACAGATTACAAGGTCTAACAGATTGTAAAATATAATAGAATGCAGTCAATTGGTTTTAACAACAAACACTACAGCAAGCATATCAAACTCGCGGCCAGTGGGCCATATGCTTTGTCATGCGGCCCGACGGCCGCGAGTTTGACATGCTTGCACTACAGAGCTTGAACTGTGATAACAATTGACAGAACTGTTTAACTTAATGAGAAAAACCTGCTGGATCAGTAAGGCATTGCTGCATCATTTCTCAGAGAGGAAGGCACACAGTCACTAGCAAGAAAAATCACAAAATGTGTAAGCAAACACCAAGACAGCAGATGGTGCACATGTGCAAACAAAAGCGGTTCCTCTGGGGCCCTGGCATTTATATCAAAGTAACATTACACTGTGCAGATGTCAAACTCACAGCAACCCAATTCCCTTCTCTAATACAGGCTGACCATTTAACAGACATTCAATCTAAAAGAAAAAAAGGAAAAATCAAATTTTCTAAAACAGTTTTATTTTCAGAAAAGCTGTTTTGTCTCTCAGCATCGGGCAGATTTTTTAAAAAACTGTCTAACTGGTATCATATTTTAGAGGAGTGCATAAACAAATTGACAGCAGCTAAAACAATTGTAATGGCACATCCAGGAGCTCACATTCAAAATGACATTACTGGTAAGTTCTTTTTTGTGCGTGAATTCAAATTCTATGTTATGAGCCAAGTAGCAATGCTTTGTTCATGTTAATTCTTAGCAAATAATTTGTTAAATTTAGTTATGTTTTTCAAAAACAGTTAAAACCCTAACATATGAGATTTTTGGGCAAAGATACTGACATAATAATACTTCAGGAAGATGTTACTATAGCCAACATATTGCAATAATTCCCTAAAGTGATTTCTGAGACAAAGCCTAGATCTAATGTTAGTTATTGCCTTTTATGAATGTTATGATCATTTCAGCACAACTGCACTGGTGCTGATTCTGCCAGTAACCACCACTCACTAAAGCACTTGGCAATTCCACTCCCGTCGGAGTCCACACGGATGGGCAGAAGGAAGTGTGAGCACTCACTACGCTAGTACAGCTCACGGTCTCATTAACTCTGGCCTTTTCGCTGTTTCAGTATCTCAGGAAAATGAGGATCCAAGCACTTGGCAATTCCACTCCCGTCGGAGTCCACACGGATGGGCAGAAGGAAGTGTGAGCACTCACTACGCTAGTACAGCTCACGGTCTCATTAACTCTGGCCTTTTCGCTGTTTCAGTATCTCAGGAAAATGAGGATCCAAACATCATGCTAACCTTCCACAAACTATTCACCCTAAAATTTGAACTATTTTTCATCAGGAAATCAACTACCTTAAAAATCTACTTCCAGAAAACGTAACTGGATGCTAATCTAATCAAGCTATTAGTAAAGCCAGATACACAGAAGAAACAATAAAAATAGAAATGGAATGAATGGAACTCTAATACTGCAGGAAACTGTTACAGAGAGAAAAACAGGATTACAACAAACATATCATTTTAAAAAAGTTGCACATGCCTCCTGAGCAAGAGGATTTGGGAATTATAATAATTAATATAAGTACCTAATATGTTTACTAAAATTCACCTTAATGTTGGGCATCCTTAATTATCACTGTCTAAACCATTTGCTTCTCTGAGGCTGCTGCATGGTTACCTCAGACATCGATATGAATTCCATGTTTTGAAGACATCACCTGTCTGGTCCCTGTTAAGTACATGACCAAGGAACAGATGTGAGGTAAGGATGCTGTGCTTACTACATAGAGCCAGGGTGGCAAGGGCGGAGTTTTCCCAAAGGGGCATATCCACAAGCCGTGCCGAAGGCCATCTCGGATATGGTGTGAGGTCCAGGATATGAAGACCATCCAGGGAAGGAAGCACCAGGAGTCTTTGAGCTTGAAGAGGTGCATGGTGCACTTGAGGGTCAGGACCACGGCGGGTATCACAGTAGAACAGTGAAGGAAGGGTCTCCGTGGAAGAGTCAAAGCAGCCTGCGGGGAGGGCGAGGAAGCAATACCTCTATCATTTCCTTCTTGGCAAACAGCGTGTTGCACATGCTTCTTAATACTCTAAAATATTTTCCTGCCTGGACAGGGTGGCACAGTGGTTGAGTGTCAACCTATGAACCAGGATGTCACCAGTTGGATTCCCGGTCAGGGTACATGCCAGGTTGTATGCCCAGTAGGGGGCATGCAGGAGGCAGCTGATCAATGATGCTTCCCTCTCATAGACATTTCTCTCTATCCCTCTCCCTTCCTCTCTAAAAACCAATAAAACCCATATTAAATCCTAAATGTATAAGGTTTGGGTAATTTTGGAGTTTTAAAGAATTGTCCTCTTAGAGTGTTGAAAAAAAAATCTCAAAACCAAATAAAATGTTCTTCAATTAATAAAGGCACAAAAGGGGAATATTTTTGTAGTAATCACTTTATATTAGCTTTGAATACTTTCAGAATTTATTTACAACATTTAGAAAGATTATATTATTTTAAATAAGTATTCTAAAGTTGAATTAAATAAACTTCAGTGAAATTTCTAAACCATTGCAAAAAAAAAAGGTAACAAAAACATCTAATCAAATGAAAAATTCAGACTCAACCCCTGAATGAGCCCTGAGTAAGGCTTTGTTCCCACACAGTCTAAAGGCTAATTTGCAACTAGAGAAGATTGCCTAAATCTGAATCAACCACACATTCTCAAAACATTACAGAACAGGATACATAAAACCTCACTCAGCACACACAGAAGTCAGAGAATGCTCTAACTTCAACTGCTCTAAAGTAGTAAACACCAAATCATGAGCTCTCTCTCATACTCCCACCACAAGCCAGGAAAGACTGAAGAAAGATGAGGAGAAACAGGAGACTGATCTAAAATTGGCACTACAGTGCTCGCTTCGGCAGCACATATACTAACAAATTGGAACGACACAGGGAAGATTAGCATGGCCCCTGCGCAAGGATGACACGCAAATTCGTGAAGCGTTCCATATTTTTAAAAAATAAAAATAATAATAAAAAATAAAATTGACAATACAGCTCTAGCTGGTTTGGCTCAGTGGATAGAGCGTCGGCCTGTGGACTGAAGGGTCCCAGACTCGATTCCAGTCAAGGACAGGTACCTTGGTTGCAAGCTCAATCCCTGGCCCTGGTGGGCGCATGTGCAGGAGGCAACCAATCAATGTGTCTCTCTCACGTTGATGATTCTCTGTCCCGCCCCCTCCCTTCCACTCTCTCTAAAAATCAATGGGAAAATATCTTAAGGTGAGGATTAACAACAAAAACAAAAAAATAAAATTACCACTACAAAGAGAAAGCACAACCTATGCACGAAAATACTGAAAAGGGTCCCGTTGGTCCGAGCACTGACCACAGAGAAAGGACTGAAAAGTGTGCATGATTCGAGGCTTTGAAAGGCATTGGTTCTGCGGATGAAGATGGTGACAAGAAAGGGAGAGGTACCCATTAGAGATTGGGGGGGGGGGGGGGGCGGGAGGGGAGGGTTGGAGGGAGAAAATAGCAAAGAAAAATATTTTAAGTATAAAAAAAATTAGAGGACACAACCCTCCCCACATTAGAAAATAGTCATCCATTAAAGAGACTGTGCCTTGTCACACCGCCGAATCAGACTCCCTGGGAGCTGGGAGCCGTGCAGCCCCTGCTCAAACAGACTTCTTTAACCCTGGCCTCCCGGCTGAATAGCGCAGTTTACTCTGCGTCCTCTTCCTTCTCCCTCCCTCCACGTTTGTGGTTACTGTATTTCTAACTTGTCAGATCACGTAACTCTTCTGCATGATTGTCCGATTGTCTCCACCTCCGTTTGGAAGCTCTCCACGCACAGAGCATCACGCTCCCCATCAGCAGGGGGCGAGGAGGCCTCTGGCAGCCGCTGCCTGGAAGAGAGCCGGACCCTGAGGCGCAGCTGCCTGGCGCGTAGGCTCCCTGTGTGCAGAGCAGGACCCCTCCGCACATTCTGTGAGTCTGTTTACACTAACAGGTGCTGAAGAAGAGATGGGAGATTTCTGTTGCTTGGCTGATTATTAAAGTATCAATGCAGATTTTTTACTCTTAGAAAAACAATGTCTACAATGTCTAATGAAAGAAGAAAAGGACATAATCATGAAATTATAGAAGTAAAAATAGATCACTTAAAAATAGAAGTAAAAATAGATACCAAAAATGAGTATCATAAAAATTTATTCTGTTTTGATATTTCTCTACTGATGATCATATACAATCTTATGGTGAATGTGAAAGCATTTTAATTCTTCACTCAAAAATAAGGTTCAATAAGGGGGCTGGGTGATAAAACAGGTGAAGGGATTAAAAATATATATAAATAACACATAGACACAGACAACAGTACGGTGATAGCCAGGGGGACAGGAGGTGAGGGGAGGGGGACAGGGGGTGAGGGGAGGGCAAAGGGAGGATAAATGGGGATGGCAAGAGACTGCTTTGGGCGACAGGTGCACGAGCAGTGTGCAGATGATATTTTGTTGAGTTGTATACGTGAAACCTGCATGGTTTTGTCACGCCAATAAACTCAATAAAAAATAAATGTATTGATGAAAACAAAAAGGATCAAAACCAGCACGATGCTATACTTTACAGGCACGATCTCATTTAATTCTTCTAACAATCCCATGAGTCGGGGTTATTTTACAAAGAGGAAATGGAGGCTTAGGAGGCTAAGTAACCTCCCCGTGTTGTGGATTTGGCGGCAGAGCTGGGGTTGAGACTAGGTCCGCCCCACCCTCTGGCTTGTATTCTTTTTTTAAAGATATCTTATTGATTTTTTTACAGAGAGGAAGGGAGAGGGATAGAGAGATAGAAACATCGATGAAAGAGAAACATCGATTAGCTGCCTCCTGCACACCCCCTACTGGGGATGTGCCTGCAACCAAGGTACATGCCCTTGACCAGAATCGAACCTGGGACCCTTCAGTCCGTAGGCCGACGCTCTATCCACTGAGCCAAACCAGCTGGGGCAGGGGTCCTCAAACTACAGCCTGCGGGCCACATGCAAATACAAATATTGTATTTGTTCCCGTTTTGTTTTTTTACTTCAAAATAAGATATGTGCAGTGTGCATAGGAATTTGTTCATAGTTTTTTTTAAAACTATAGTCCGGCCCTCCAACGGTCTGAGGGACAGTGAACTGGCCCCCTGTTTAAAAAGTTTGAGGACTCCTGGGTTAGGGCAAGGCTTGTATTCTTAACACTATGGCTTCTAAATGAACCAAAGAACAAATTCAGCATAAGGCTCAAATATCTTAAAAATTACAATAAAGTAGTTAAATTCTCAATGAATGCATTTATGAACCATACTTTCCATAATGCTTCATAGCTTACCCCAATTATAATAATCTCTAACAATTATCTATAATAATCTCTACAATTATTATAGATTATCTACAATAATCTATAATAATCTCTAACAATTATTGTTAACTATTTGCTAAGGTGTGTCATTTAACATGCTCATTTAATCCTCACAACAACCCTCTGATATAATTAACATTATAATCCACATTTTACAGATGGGGAAATTGCGATTTAGAGAAGTAAAGGTGTGCTAACATTACATCCTAGGATTCACACTCGGGTCTTCTGACCCCAATCTTGTGCTGCTTCTGCTTACAGCAAAAAAGTTAAAATTAGTCTTTAACCGGGAATTACTGATTCTGTACTGGTTAAGCCTCTAAACAAGTAAGACAACCTCTGATAAATACCTGGTACAGCTCTTGACACATCACAGGAAGAAGCAATCAGTTACCCTTTGCTCGACAAATACCTGCTGAACACTTAGGAGGTAAGCCAGGAACTGTTCTACAGCCAGGGGGAGCCAAGCAAAGTCCTTTCTCTATGAGTTTGTATTTCTTTCCTTGACGTGTTTACAGGTCATAAATATGTAAAAGGTAGGCGAATCTGTTGACACTGAGAAAATACGATCTGAACTGCTAGTTTAAGTTTAGTTCATTTGCAAGACTAATAGTGACCGTGTGGCTAAACCCCACACGCCTGAATGAAATGCCTCCCTTTCTCCACAAGGGACTGTGCCCTCATCAGCCCACTGAAATGCTCACCTTTGCCTCCAAGAGGGACTCAGGGAATGAATCCATTAAAGTCATTCCCCAGGGATGGAATCACCTTTGTTTTTTAAATAGTTTACCGAGTTTTAGAGAAAGAGGAAGGGAGAAGAGAGAAACGTCTCACGGTGAGAGCGCAGCGGCCTCCTGCACGCCCAACGGAGACCCTGGATTCATCTTCAAGCCGCTCAACTGCTATGGAGCAGCGGTAAACCAGCGGTCGCCAACCTTTCGGACCTCACGGACCACCAGTGGTCCGCAGACCACAGGCTGGCGACCGCTGGGAGCATGCAGGTCTGCATGCTAAACGATAAAACATGAAGAATATGGGGGAAATGTAAGTATGGTCCTGAAGACAGAACACACTAACACAGAAAGAGATGGGGCAGCCCTGAGAATGACCCCATGGTCTGTGCACACCGTCAGGAAGTATGTAGTGGTCAAAAAGTTGGATTAATGGGCTTTCTTATTTTACAATTTTTAATCCTCACCAGAGGATATGTTTTTATTGACTTTTTAGAGAGAAGGGAGGAGGGAGGAGGGAGGAGGGAGGAGGGAGGAGGGAGGAGGGAGGAGGGAGGAGGAGGGAGGAGGGAGGAGGGAGGAGGGAGAGGGAGAGCACTGATAAGTTGCCTCCTGTACATGCCTGGACTGGGGATTGAACATGCACCACAGGTATGTGTCCTGACCAGGAATCGAGCCTGCTACCTTTTGGATGACACTCTAACCAACTGAACCACTCGGCCGGGGCTGGGCTTTCTTATTTTAAAACAAGGTCAATCTTCTCTAGTTCTACCTAAAACGATGCTGTCAAGTTGGCTATACTAGTAATGGTGCAAACAAAATCAAGGGAAAATTAAACAGATATGCTCCTTACCTTTAAAGACAGGGATCTAGCTAGTAAAAAGTGGTCTACGTCAATAACTGAGGCTAAAAATCCAGCTAGGAAGATTTCTCTCAAGTCAGTCTTCTTCTTGATTCCGATGACTATTGCCCAGGACCACATGCCAATCACACCATGCACTGCATTATCGGAGAGGGCTCGAAGCCAGTTATTTTGCTGGATTATGGAAAACTGCAGAAGCCTGTCAGCTACGAGGCAGAATATCCCCAGACCGAGGCTGGAAAGAAGAGCCTGAGTGCTGCAAGACTGGAGTAAAGCCTGGGCCTTCTCGGTCTCGGAGGCCATCACAAACCATGTGTCAGTGCACGTGAACAGCCATCAGGAACCGGGCTGCTGCTTCTGGTGGACATTCCCAGTCACCCTAACATAGAAAGGAGAAAAAAATACAAATGCATATTATGGGCTGCCATACAGTGCCTAAACATCATCAGCAATAATTTTATAAATATGAAACCAAGTTGTAAAAACTGGTATTTCTTTTTTTAAATTACTGTAATTGTATTTCTTCTAGCTTTATTGAGATGTAATCAATCTAGTACACTGCGTTAAGTTTAAGGCGTACAACGTAATGATTTAATGTACGTAATGTGAAGTGACTACCACAATAAGGTTAGTTAACACATCCACCAGCTCACATAGTCAACTTTTCTTACGTGTGGTGAGAGCACTAAAGGTTACATTATATATAATAAGCTTCGTGGCCCAAAGATGATAGTTTTGTAGAAGCAGGTGAGGTGGTAATGAGTAGCATGGGAAATTTAAGGAAGCCCACTGACTGTAATGTATTACTTTGAGGTCATCTCTCTCTCAGAAATGTTTACTACCCGGTAGCGGGCATCCATTGTCTATGTACCCAGCAACTACCTTCCATACTTTTTCTGATAACAGCCCCTTCCTTTGGGCAAAACTGCTCATCACGCTATTTTACTGCCAAAAATAACAGCAGACTTTCATGTAAAAGGAACAAATTGAAAACAAGAAAGAGATCATGAAGAAGAAAAGCCTGCTTGCCCAACCATTTTACTTAATAGAAGCAATGCATATTGCATGAGTGCTTCAAACACTACAAGTGAATATGAACATTTTCAAAGAATTTTCCCAAAGCTTGAGTTGGGTATTGAAAGAAAAATAAATTTAAAAAATACAGAGAAAACCCTTTAAGAGTATTTAAGTCCCCCTTACCCTGCCAAGGTTATCTGCAAAAGAGAATGTGATTAACACCAACAATACCAAAATATTGTGGGGTACAGAGTTCTGGGAAAAAAGGATCATTACTGTAGGATTCCAAACATAACTAAATTATGGGAATTATGTCACAATCATGAATTTTGAGTTTTCCCTTAGAAATTGTAATACCTAGGTACAATTTCTTGGGAAAAAATAATTGAGGAACAGGACTTCTAAATCTCTAAGGGGAGGGGAGAGGGAAAAAGAAAACTTGATTAATACAGCAAAACAGAAACGGGAAAAAAGCAAAAAAGAAAATTTTATCACCCCCACCAAAGAAAAGCAATCAGGCCCTAACTGGTTTGGCTCAGTGGATAGAGGGTCACAGGTTCAATTCCAGTCAAGGGCATGTACCTTGGTTGCGGGCACATCCCCAGTAGAGGGTGTGCAGGAGGCAGCTGATCGATGTTTCTCTCATCATTGATGTTTCTAACTCTCTATTCCTCTCCCTTCCTCTCTGTAAAAATCTCAATAAAATATATTTTTTTTAAAAAAAGAAAAGCAATCAGAACCAAACATATCAAACACAAATACCACAATAAATGTGAATGTATTAAATTTCTCTAGTAAGAGACAGACTGAGCCCTGGCCAGGTAGCTCAGTTGGTTAGAGTATTGTCCCAATATGCCAAGGTTGTTGGTTGGATCCCGGGTCAGGGCACATACAAGAAGCAACCAATGAGTGTACCAGTCAATGGAACAACAAATCGAGATATATATATATTTGCTCTCTCCTCTCTCTTTGAAATCAATTTTTAAAAAAGGGGGGGCAGATGGAGACAAAAGGAAATATCTTCTGTTTTAAGCCTCTAAGTTTCGGAAGTAATTCATTATGCAGCAGTAGATAACAAAAAGTTGCTATTTTTAAAAAGGTATACTTATGGTCCCAGAAACACACAATTCTAACATCTATTCCTCTCCAACTATTGGTGCAGGTATTTAGATTCTCAGTATGAGATAGATCAATTTAATAAGTGTACTTCCTCCTATTGTCTCTGACCAGGACACCTAAGTGACCCATTTTTATTCTCGCCCTTTTCTAATTCCTGCTCCTCTCCCTACAAATAAAATGGATTCCAGGAGCCTCCTAAACTGTAAAAGAGCCTTCTGTTTATTTTACATACTCACTTTGGGGGGGGGGGGGCAGGTTTCTTTAGAGTAGTAATTACAATTTCCTTTTAAACCTGTCATGCATAAAATCTAATGTGCTCAGGTGCTTAATACATATTTCATTATTATGCTAATAAAAGGGATCAGCAGGTAAGCAATCCTCAGCCTACAACTAAAGATATTAATCGGATGTGACTTCTCTGCCTAATAGCCAGTTTCCACATCACACATTTCTCTCTCCGACTTGCAGGAGCCACTTTCTGCAATGGCCAAACGGCCACGCCTCATCCCCATTATAGTAAAACGCCATCAATTATGGGGCCTTCAAAGTGTACTATATAGCAGTAATCTTCCCTTCCCTCAACTCCACAAACACATAATTAGCAGTTACTTTAATTATACACGATCATGTACTGTCAATAACCTCTTAGACATATTTCTGCCAAAACAAGTCAGAGCTCCCAAATTCCCAATGGAAATGCCACCTTCCGCTTCCCCGCCTTCCTCTCCCCAATCACAGTTACAAAAGCCCCGAGTAAAGCGCCGTCTAACATGGGAAAACTGTCTTTACGATGCTTTACGAGTAAGTCCTCTTCACCGAACTGGAGTCGCTGCGACGCTCCTATTTCTTTCATGCGACAACACCCTAAAGAGACGCCAAGCCGAACGCAGCTAATTTGCAAAGCGAGGAAACACAAAGCGCGCTCACTTGCACGGGAACTTGGACAGCCCGCCTATGAGATGCTTAGAGCCCGGGACCCTGACGAATAAAACACGCAATTCCGTATTTCAACTTGATGTTCGAGTCCCCGCAAATTCCCAAAGTCATCCTTTCATCAGGTGGGTGCGAGGCCAGAATCGCTAACAGGGAGGAAGCCGCGGCGTCTGCAGGGAAGGGACCATGTCGCCCTCGTCGCGTTCACGCTTCCAAGGACTGACCCGGGGCGCCCAGGGGCTCCGCCGCCGGTGCCAACGGCGATGGGCAGCGCCATCCGACCCCGGGACCCCGCTCCCCGCCCGGGGCCAGGGGAACGCCGGGGCGCGGAGCCTAGGCGAGGGGTGGGCTCCCGGGGGACCGAGAAGCGGCGGCGAAGCCGGAGGGCGCTGGGCGCAGGTCCCGGCCCCGGACGGCGGCCACCGCGCGGGCTGCCGGGTCCCGCGCCCGCCGCACCGGCGCGCCGCCCGCCCCCCGTCTGGAACCGGGACCGCCCACACTTCGGGCTCAGGGGGTCCCCGCCTCGGCCTCCCACTGGAGGACGTAGCTTCGCAGCGTCCCTCGCAACCCCCGCCCCACCGGCCCCGCGCCGCACCCACCCTCGGCTCTCGCGGCAGAAGCGGCCGCATCAATGGAAGCCCCGCCCCCTGCCCCTCCTCCCTTCGCCGGGACCATAGAGATGCCGGCGCGGCCAGAGCGGCTCCAGCCCGCGCGCCGCCCAGAGCACGACGGGATACGGCGCCCATTCGAGCCGCCCGGAGCCGGGGTTCGGATGCCCTCTGGTGGAGAGACTGGGTACCTCGCGTTCTTGCCCGAGGAAAAAATGAATACTGAGTAGTAATCCACAATACTTTCCAACAACATGTATTTTGCTCAGTACGTATTTGTTGAATACATGGCATAAGAATAGGTCAGCAGTCCGCCATCACACTCTGAAATGAATGTAAAGCTCTGATTTATTGATTTAGTTATTCAAAGGCACAGTTTGGATCTAAGTTACCAATGCTGAATAGCTGTCTCCAGAACTGTATTTGTGTCCTGCTGGGGACCACAGAATACAGACACCAGGGTTGAGTGAAAATTTGCTCTCATTTAAATTCAAATTGATTTTGTCATCTCTGAGGGGCAGATGTTATGCATCAAACAAGTGACAGATTGCAACTTTAATTTAAATAGTAAGTAAAGCAAAAAAAATTAAAAATAAATAAATAGTAAGTAAAATTTGGTTTATAATATGCTTATATTTATTGGAGAAAAATATCCAATGATGTCACCCAAGTACTTTCTGGATTAAAGTAATTTTTTAAATGATAAAAAAGTGGAGAACAGAGAGATATTAATAGGTAGGTCCCATGAAAGAATGGTGTGGACAGCAGTGATAGGCACTGCTTATTTACATGTGGAATAATAGCGTTAGTGACAGTGACAGGAAGAAGATATCGGTGGCAGCAGAGGATAAAATTGAAAGAATAAAATAATGGCAAAGGGGTGAGGACAAGGACAGAGGGGGAAGGAGGGTCAGGCGGGTAGTGGTACAGGTAGAAAGCAGCACTCTTGTTCACCACAATTAGAATCTGGCTGGGAAGTTTGTCCTTGTGACCTGGGTGACTCCGGTCAGATGCACAAGCAGTTACACTTGCATTTGAGAGTTAAGTCATGAAGGAGAATTATAACACCTACAGTTGCAGCCATGTCCTGTGATTTCTTCTTTTCCTCTTTATTGAGGCTAAAACACATCCACTAAAGTGCATAAAGTGCTTTCATCATAAGCGCACAGTTTGCTGAATTTTCGCATATGACACAACCTTGGGAACTCCTGCCAGACAAGCATACAGAATCCTTTTTTTCAGTATTAGGGTCACAAAGAGGTTCAGCAGGACTAAACTTCTTTAATGGAATTTACAGGCAAAACTATTCCCAAATGACACTCTTGAATGAACCCCCACATTTTCTACTCGAGATGATGAGTTTTTCTTTCTTGTTTGCCTTTTGGAAGTTTCTCAGAAGTACTGCTATTTTGCCCTTTCACTTTTTTCACAAAGGTGAATAAAACCTTTCTTTGAGTATAGTAAGATATTGGGATGTTACCTCTGATATCTAAACTCACTGGCTCACATGTGATGCACTTTCAATAAGAATACCTCATGGGCATTTATATTTCTTGATGCCACGTGAAGAGTGGGGATGAAGGAACTTAAAAGAGATCCAGCAGCCCTCAGGTTATGGGACAGCCAGTTCACAGATACTGTGCCTAAGGCTGAGGCTGCAGTTAATTCATAGAAGGCACTCGTCTGATTCTGACCCAGAGCCAGTGTTCAGAATAGAGACACATCATTAAAATCGCGAATCAACACAAAAAGTTTGAAGAGTTCTTCTCACACAACAGAGATCTTCATTGCTTCAGATTATTGGAGAGTACTTATTGTATTAGTTATTTATTGCTGTGTGTTGAATTACCCCCAGATTTAGTGACTTTACCAGCAATAAACAGTGTTTGTAGGTCAGTTTCTATGAGCCAGCTTAGCTGTAGTTTCTAGCTCAGGGTTTCTCATGAGGTTGTAAACAAGATATCAATCAGGCTACAATCACCAGGAGGCTTGACTGGGGCTGGAGCATCCGCTTCTCCCCCAAAAGCCAACAGAGAGTAAGGCAGAAACAGCGATGTCTTTTATGGCCTAGTCTTGGAAGTCATACCTCATCACTCTTCCACATTACTCACTAGAAGCAAATTATCCATGCTGTCGCAAATGGTAAGAACTCCTTTTTCACAGCAGCATAGTGTTCCATTGTGTAGATGTACCACAGTTTTCTAATCCACTCATCTATTGATGGGCAGTTAGGCTGTTTCCAAATCTTAGCTATGGTGAATTGTGCCGCTATGAACATGGGGGTGCATGCATCCTTTTTGATTGGTGTTTCTAGTTTCTTGGGATATATTTGTAGAAGTGGGATTACTGGGTCAGATGGGAGTTCCATTTTTAGTTTTTTGAGGAAACTCCACACTGTTCTCCACAGTGGCTGCACCAGTCTGCATTCCCACCAGCAGTGCAAGAGGGTTCCTTTTCCTCCGCATCCTCTCCAGCACTTGTCGTTTGTTGATTTGTCGATGATAGCCATTCTGACAGGTGTGAGATGGTACCGCATTGTTGTTTTGATTTGCATCTCTCAGATAATTAGTGACTTGAAGAGCATTATGCTAAGTGAAATAAGCCAATCAGAGAAAGAAAAATATCACATGATCTCACTCATTTATGGAATATAATGAACAACATAAACTGATGAACAAAAACAGATCCAGAGACAGAGAAGCATTGATCAGACCATCAAACCTCAAAGGGAAGGTAGGGGAGGGTGGGGATAAGGGGGAGAGTTCAACCAAAGGACTTGTATGCATGCATATAAGCATCACCAATGGACACAGACGACAGGGGGGTGAGGGCATGAGTGAGGGGATGAGGGGGGGATGGGGGAATAAGGACACATATATAATACCTTAATCAATAAAGAAATTTTAAAAAATAATAAAAATAAATAAAAAAGAAGCAAATTATTAAATCCAATCCACATTCAAGGGAAGGCGATTTGGCTTCTCCTTTTAAAGGGTGAAGCATCAATTTGGAGCTTTTTTTTTCAAATGAGGTTTTAAAAAACCACATAACATGAAATTTATCACTTTAACCATTTTTAAATGTCCAACTCAGTAGTGCTAAGTATATTCAGTCTGTTGTGCAACAGAGCTCTAGAACTTCTTCATCTCACACAACTGAAGTCTCTCTCTAGTACACTTCCCCCTCCTCCCAGCTCCTGGCAAACACCATTCTACTTCACCCCCCCCAGCCCGTCCCCTGCCGGCAGCCCTCACTCTTGCCGCCGCTGCTCCCACGCGCTGACAGCGCCAGCCCAGCTCGCACCCGCTGACGGCGCTGAGTGATCAGGACGGCACCAGGGGCCAGCAGCAGGTACAAGCAGCGGCTCCAGCGCTGGCTGCAGGTGCAAGAGGTTGCTACTGGCCCTGATCGCCCCTCAGGAGCAGGGGGAGGTGAAGAAGCCCTCAGGGGCAATTGGGCCGGTGCTGGCAGCGGGTGTGAGAGGCGGATCTGGCACCAGCAGCAGGTGCAAGCACCTGACAGGACCACAGCTCCTGGGAGCAAAGAATTTTCAGTGACTACCAGAGGCTCGCCCCAATGACAGCGACTGGTGCCCCACCTTGGTCTGGCACCCCCGCCCACCTGCTCCACCATCCCACCATGGCCAATGCCCACCACGTTCTGTGTGTGCCCCCTGGTGGTCAGCACATTTCATAGTAACCGGTTGTTCGATTGTTCCGCTGTTCAGTCTATTTGCATATTAAGGTTTTATAGAGAGAGATACTCTAATGCAGCGGTTCTCAACCTGTGGGTCTCAACCCCTTTGGGGTCGAATGACTCTTTCACAGAGGTTGCCTAAGACCATCGGAAAACACATATATAATTACATATTGTTTTGTGATTAATCACTATGCTTTAATTACGTTCAATTTGTAACAATGAAATTGGGGGTCACCACAACATGAGGAACTGTATTGAAGGGTCGCGGCATTAGGAAGGTTGAGAACCACTGCTCTAATGGGTGTGAGGTGATATCTCATTGTAGTTTTGATTTGCATTTCTTTAACAATCTAGAGATGTTAAGCAACTTTTCATATGCTTGTTGATGATGTGTATATAGCACCTATGAGGACATTTCAGTTCAAGTCCTTTGCCCATTTTTCAAATGGGCTTTTTGTTCTTGTTGTTGAGTCATGGAGGTATATTTTTAAACCACACCTAACTTACAGGTTCTTGTGAGATCTAAAAATTCATCTATGCAGATTCACTGTCACATAGTAGGCACCCCAAAAATATTACTTGTCTTCTCAGGATGGTTACATTAAATAATATACGTAAAACGGCTTTAAAAATAATAAAGTGCTATGCAAATATGAGTGAATACTATATATCTGTATGCAAAATATTCTATTATTTTTCTCAGGGTCTCCACATTTAAATACATAAATCTTTTCAACTCTAGACCTTATTCTGTTTTATTAGCTGTAATCCCTTTTTTCCATTTCCTTTTAAGTTTTATCAAAAAAAAATAGCAAAAATGGAATGAGTAAAGGAATAGAAAAAATAGCTGATTTCACTAAAGCACAAAGTTAAGATCTGTTTGAAAAAAAGTAAATGTGAAGAAAGCTGCAACAGATTGCACTATTGAAAAATCCTAGGAGAACCAGAACTGCTGTTCCTTCAGAGAATGAGAGTGATGTTGAATGATTAATAACGTTTGGATAACATTCATTACAGTGAGGTTATAAACGCTGGTGTTACAGTTGCCATAACAACCTGCTATATGTTGGTTTTCTAATGACATTTCAAACAAGTGCTGAAGTGAACTGCATCATTCAGAACTTTGATTGCTGTCATTCAGTGATTTTTAAATTGAATTGTTTTGTTCTTAAAAGGGTCAGAATATGTCACTGTCTTCAAAAGTATTCTCAAAATTATGGGGAGCAAATGATACACACATTCCTATACAATTTTAGAGAAAAAAGAAATATATGTTTAATACAAAATTAACAGATTTTGTGTGTGTGTGTGTGTGTGTGTGTGTGTGTGTGTGTGTGTGTGTGCATGGGGAATAGGGGGGCGGGGAACAGAAGGAAAGGGGAAAGTGTGCTTCAGACTTCTCAGACTTTGTTCCCTTAGGGAATTGCCTGACAATAACATTTTTCTAGAAGAGCTTACTGTGATCTGTTATATTTCTAGTCTCTCTCTCCTTTCCCTTCACTCCCTTTTCTTCCTTCTGATGGATTCTTGGAACCTGTGATGCTGATCCAGATGTTGCATCCATGATGCAGATGCTACACCTTGTAAGGTAGTGAGGTGAGGTCATTTCCACCGGCTCTCTGACCTCTGTTCTCTCTCCTACCAACCCCCTCCTTTCTTCTCAGGCACTACCCAGAGGATATACTGCAAGAAGGGTTACTTGCTACTGGCTTATAGTATGTTGAATTTTAAAATCCCCAACCAAGAGAATATGTTAAGTACACATTGTGTCACTGACAAGAAGCAAAGCATGATTGTAATGGACATGCTTCTAAGTTCTCGCTCAGCCCATAGCCTACTTTGCTCCTGCTGCCGGTGGGCACCCACCCACAAATAAGAACTGTTGGTTGAATCACAGGTGAGCACCAGAACCAATTCATCCATAGGCAAATGGATTAGATTACCTCTCTCTTTCTCCTCTCCCTTTCTCTCTTTTTTCTTTCTCCAAACTGAGCTATGGTAAGAGTTGACCATTTGCAATGGTGTTTGCAGCAGAAGCGTGTGTTCTGTGGAAAAACTGTGCTACAGGACTCTGAAGTAATAGTGTGCCCACTGGCCCTCACCCCAACACATTCCCAGCAGCATTTCAGTCTGTACCCCGAATCTCAGGCAATGGAAATGGCCTCATTCCATGGAAAGCACATCAGAGTGCTCTATAAACCCTGATCCCATGATAATACCCTCTATGTAAGGGTTTACCCCTTGGCCAGGCATGCTGTTGGCACCCTTTCAACACTCTCTTCTGCTCCCTTGCTTCTCTTCTTAGAACTCCCTCCACCCCACCCAGATACCCAAGGGCTTCCATTCTGCCTTCCCCAAAGTTCCAACTGTAGAAGCTAATCAATCCAAGCCCAGGCTTTCACTGACCTAGAACCACTGCAGGGACATTTCTTTTTTTTTTTTTTTTTAATGTATTTTTTAAATTGATTTCAGAGAGGGAGAGGGAGAGAAACATCAATGAGAGAATCATTGATTGGTTGCCTCCTGCACGCCCCCTACTGGGGATCGAGCCCACAACCCAGGCATGTGCCCTTGACTGGAATTGAACCTGGGACCCTTCAGTCTGCAGGCCGACACTCTATCCACTGAGCCAAACCAGCTAGGGCTAGCATGGGACATTTCTTACTGTAGCCTAGGCTTTCTAGAGCTGAGGAACAACATAGATGGCTCCCCGTTTCCAAAACAGGACCCACAGCTCTTTCCTGTAGTCAGTCTATTGCCCAAAGGCACTGATTCATTTGTACAACACAGACTTGAGTGCTCTCAATATGCCAGGAACTATGCCTGGTTACAAAATAACTTTTCAAATTCTAGCGGAGGGTAGAAACCACAAAGAAATTGGACAACTGAAGTACAGTATATGCTGTAAAGGAAATGACTAGGGAGATGTAACAGAGTAACCGGAAGGCCCCTCTGAAATATTTGGGATGAGACCTGAAGGTGGCAAGGAGCCCAGCAAGAAAGAACCTCAGGAGAGAGCATTGTGCCCATTCATGTCGCTGACGTTACCACTCCTGATGCACTTCCTTCTGCTTGCTTTGTTCGCTCTCTACATTTCTCCTTGTTTTCTCTGTTACTTTCCCCCTTTTATGTGAAAAGGCTCCTGTTTTTTTTTTTTTTCTAGAAATGGGAAGTAGAGCATTTCTGGTTATATTTGGTATAATCTTGAAGTCTTTTTAGTTTTATTTAATGTTTTTATTGATCTCAGAGAGGAAGGGAGAGGGATAGAAACATCAATGGTGAGAATCATTAATTGGCTGCCTCTTGCACACTCCCTATTGGGGATTGATTGAGCCTGCAACCTGGGCATGTGACCTGACAGGAATTGAACCATGACCTCCTGGTTCATAGGTGGACACTATCCATTGTACAACACTGGCCAGGCTCTTGAAGTCTTTTTAGATGTATGATTTTATTCTTTCCCAATAGACAAGGTGTAATAATATCACTTTTGGTGAGCTCATTTCTCATTTAGTTTCACACACTTAGTAAAATAAGTCTTTTCAGCTGTTCAAAAGAAATGAACATATCTAGTTCACAGCAGTTCAGATGAAATTTAGTCATTGCTGAAGTACTTGGTTCTTAGCTTGGAGCAATATTACCTACTTTCCTTTTTTAAGATCTAATTCTTTTCTCATAGTTTTTTTGAAAAAATGTTCGGAATAGAGAGACTAAATAGCAAATGACAAATACACACAATACTGCATTTTTTAAAAAAAATCCTTGATTAATAGTCAATGCTTCACAAGATAAAACTATAAGTTTATAATTTTTTCTCATAAACCTGAAATAAGAAACAGTTCAAAATTTCAAAATAGTTCTTTATTAATAAAGCATTTTATAAATACACATTTTAAATTTACATGTTAGGTAAAATACATCCAAAGTTAAATGTCACTTCTCAGATTATTGTACAGAAGTCATATATACAATTCTTTTGTTTTCTAGTAATTTTATACCAGTGATTTGAAACATCCTTAAGATTTAATAATATATTGTAATAATTTCATTTTTCACTTTTTAGAGCTTGATAGAAGACAATCAATATCCTGAATAATTGCAGAGGTTCTTTTCAATGCCACTGATACTCTCTTTTCATTAACTTCTTCTAGCAAGCTTTCTGAATAGCTTGGTTTACAATCAAAAGATTGTTCATTTTTCTTGTTAGAAATCTGGTTTAGGACACCACTATTCTCCAGTAACACTAAGTTGCTTAGTCAAGGAGTTTTTGCCCACATTTTTCATTATACAAGTGTTTTTAATTTCAGAAAGCCTGACTTCATATTAAAATAGGGTTTCTCCATTTTGGGGAAGATCTTTTGGATTCATAATAGAGTTGGTACTTCAGGACTTATCAAGTCTGTTCCTCATAGATGAAGAAACCAGAGTAAAAGGGGGAAGGAGAAGAGTAAGTAGGTGTGTGTTTGGATGGAGGTTTGGTGAAAGGGAGGAAATAAAAATCTCAGTAAAACTTTAAGCTGGATTTACCAAGAAAAAAAGAGAAGTCAAATAAATAAAATTATAAATGAAAGAGGAAATAACAAGTGATACAACACAATACAAAGGATCATAAGAGACTACTATAATTATATACCAATATATTGGACAATCTAGAAGAAATGGATAAATTCCAAAAACATACAATCTACCAAGACTGAATCAAACAAAGCCTGAACAGATGGAATACTAGTAAGAAGGAGATTGAGTCAGGAATCAAAACCTCCCAACAAACAAGAGCCCCGGATCAGACAGTTTTAATGGTGAATTATACCAAATATTTAAGGAAGAATTAATACCAATCCTTCTCAAACTCTTTCAAAAATACAAGGAGGGAACACTTTCAAAATATAAGGCCAGCATTACCCTGACAACCATAACCAGACAAAGACACTACAAGAAAACAAAAATACATGTCAATATCACCAATGAACATGCAAAAATATTCAGTGTCATGTACCTTCTACAGACAAGCTACTTCTCAAATGTCTTAAGTATTCATTGAAGCTCCACAATATAGGTGTGGATTAAATAATCTATAGGGTCATGAATTAAACCTAGAATGGAAAGGAAGTAATTATGTAGGACAATACATTATGTTTAAAGGATACAGTTAAACTTCTGTATCTTTTCAAGTTCAGAAGCCACACACCTGTGGGGAAAAGAAAAGTGAGTTCATGCTAGTTATCTGCGTCTTTTTTATACACAATATTTCAAATAAGCATACTTGACAGTTTTCACAAAGGTTAGAATTTTAAACAAAAAAACCCTAATAAATTAGGTATCTAATTACAGAAAAGTTATTTTTAATCATAAGCTATCAAAAACATAGAGTTAAATATATTTAACTAAGAAAAGATTTTCTTGGGGGAAAAAGTCTTAGAGTTAACCATTTGACTCCCCCCCCCCCCCCGCTCAATTTTATTTATTTTTTAATCAAAGGGGAAATGTTTTATTCCCCCCCCCTTTCTCCCCTACCATTTGACATTTTAATTTTGAGTATTAGTTGGCTCTTCTACACAGATTAAACTTAAAAGAAATACACACACCAGTTTTCTTCAAGGACCGAACAAGTGGGCATCTCTCTCTGACTAGTTTGCGTCAGTCTTCTGCACCAGGATATTACTGTTGACACATATCTAGATTAAATACATTAAAAGAAATATTTAAAAAATGAACTTGTATTCTATTTATAAAAATTTCAAAAATGACTGAAAAATCAAGACAATTTGGGAAAAAGGGTAAAGAGAATATTTTAAAGTAAGACATTTACTGGGAAATTCTCTGAATCTTCTTTCTTATTCAAAAAAATTTTTTTTTTATTGATTTCTGAGAGGAAGGGAGAGGGAGACAGAGAAACATCAATAATGAGAGAAAACCTTCTGCAGGCCCCCTACTGGGGATCAAGCCCGAAACCTGGGCATGTGCCCTTGACTAGAATCGAACCCAGGAGCCTTCAGTCCACAGGCCAATGCTCTATCCACTGAACTAAACCAGCTAGCTTCATTGGAAATAAGCACTTTTTTCATTATTCATCAAGGAGAAAATGATTTACTCACATTCATGATTAATAATGATGAGATTTAAGCGTCAGAACCAAGTTCAAATTCAAATGTCTGAATTCTCCTTTTAGTTTTTCAAAGAAAAATGAATTTCATTAAATTTTATCATGTGAATGTGTTTCATATAAGACTAAGTGAGCATCTGCTTTTTAAAATTTAAACTAGAAAACACCCATTAATGTATACACACACACACACACACACCTATATGTATAATTACATATTAACTCACCGAATATGCAAAACAAGTATCAAGTTTAATAAAATGATTATTCTGAAGTGACTGGCTAAAACAAATAGCAATGTTTGCTAAATACACTCTGTCTTTTTGAGGCAAATTATTCAAACCAGCAATGAGTATTGGAGCATTTAGAATAAAATGCAATAAAGCTCAACAGAAAAATAAATTTGAGCTAAAACAAAGCAATTCTTTTGTGAACATTCTCAAAGTAAAATCACTAAAATGTTAAAAACATCACAAATACAACGATTATAACAAAATGTATTACATAAACCAAAAGAAAGCAGTCATGAAAAGCTGATTTCAAGAATCTCCATTTTAAGAATAATCATTAGTTTATTTTTTCTATTTTATAGAAATATACAGAAGTGTAGTTATTTGTGGTTGCCAATCTTACTTCAAATTGGTTAGGGCAGCCGTGGGCAAACTACGGCCCGCGGGCTGGATCCGGCCCGTTTGAAATGAATAAAACTAAAAAAAAAAAAAAAGACTGTACCCTTTTATGTAATGATGTTTACTTTGAATTTATATTAGTTCACACAAACACTCCATCCATGCTTTTGTTCCGGCCCTCCGGTCCAGTTTAAGAACCCATTGTGGCCCTCGAGTCAAAAAGTTTGCCCATCCCTGGGTTAGGGGATTAATTGGTTAACACATCTGACAATAACTTCTCCAGCAAGCCAGTTAGATCTAACATATTCATTTTGGTGAAAAATCACTTTAATACAAATGGAAATGATTAAAGCTGACTTCATCTTTTTTGTTATTCTAGATGCCAATATAACAGTAAACTCTGAAACCTGTTGAAATGACTTCATTCACATCCACATGTAAAAACTAAAACAAAATATGCAGATACTGTTTATGTTTCTGCTCTGTCAATTAAAAGTTTTTTATTAAAATGAAAATAATTTTTAAATTGCTTTTCAGTACCTTTCATATGGTCCGGGGTGTTCAATCTGAATTAACTGATCGTGTCCATCAGGAAAAGTTAACTTACACCAACCTAAGTTGAGGCCTTGATTTATCTTAAGAAACATGGAGGAAAGTTAAGTTTTATCATTCTAAAAATAAAAAAACAACAACACAAAACCACCCCCAAAACCCAAACAAAACCCTCTTCTAACTTAACAATTTAAAAAATATTAGTCCCTTTCTCTGTAGTGAGTTACTTAATAAAAATAAATATTTGCCACACCTATTTCACTTTTTCTAGGAAATCTAATGAGATCAATAAGCCTCTTGAAAGATGTCATACTTCAAAAAACAAATTGACCTGGCTGGATGGCTCACTAGGTTGACCATCATCCTTGCCCCAAAGGGCTATCGATTTGATTCCCAGTCAGGACACATATAAAAGGCAACATAAAAATTTATAACCAAATTAGTATAGATACATAGATTGATGTCTCTCTCTCTCTCTCTCTCCTTAGGTGAGGATTAAAAAAAAGAAATTGAGATAGAACCACAATAAAAGAAGTGCCACAGTACTTCCATAGATAAAACAAAAAACAATACAAAATAGATTTACCCTGAAGTATACTCACCTGTCTTTTTTCATTAAAAGAGCCAAAATTCCAATTTAGGGTTAGAGTAACACCATCTATAAAGATGACATGTACTTTGTCATCAGAATAAGCAAGAAATCTTCCCACACTGGGTATGAACGATTCTCTCAAAAGCAAAGGCACCATATTCTCTTTTATCCCAGGTACCTAAAACCAAGTAAGTAAAAACAGCAGGAAGTAGAGTTATCCATTCATAAGATTTAAATGATTAATGAACTCTGAGGAAACTTTCAGATTCCTATGCAGAAGTCGAATATTGTAGAATCCTTATGTATGTTTAACTTTTCCACAAGTGGATGCCCCAAACAGTCGATTACAAGCAGATTAAACCCCCATTTGCTCTGAACTTTACAAAGAACACAGACAAGACTTAGGAACTACAGCAACATATAAATTTATAACCAAATTAATATAGATACAGAAAAATCAAAGTCTGAGAATAACTTCCTCCAAGTCAGCATTAAAGAATGTACTTTTACAGTATGGAAAGAGAGTAGAAGACTGCAGTGTTTACAATAACTATGTTTTTATATACAAATTCAACTAATTCCTATGGCCTTCCCATTCCACTTAAAAGAAGTAGCCCTGACCGGTTTGGCTCAGTGGATAGTGCGTCGGCCTGCGGACTGAAAGGTCCCAGGTTCAATTCCGGTCGAGGGCATGTACCTGGGTTGCGGGCACATCCCCAGTAGGAGATGTGCAGGAGGCAGCTGATCGATGTTTCTCTCTCATCGATGTTTCTGACTCTCTATCTCTCTCCCTTACTCTCTGTAAAAAATCAATAAAATATATAAAAAAAAAAATTGTTACAAAGAATTTCTTACATGACTTAGATGAAAGTAATTTGAATTTAGGAATATAGACAAAATTATCTTGCTTTTGAAAGAATTTTAAGATACCATTTTCCAGCAGCATATACGATAGTTATGGCTTAAAGAAAGCCTCGTCTTGGCACAGTGCTGAAGAATCCTGTGAACATGAAACACACAACGTAAACATTTGCAAATTATGATGGCATTTTCCAATTCGAGCAACAATTCTAACTGCTGTAGGACATCTCAGCCAAGAAGTTCATTTCTACTGAAATATGTTCAGACCTATTTCCTTCCGGAAAATAGTAAGCCCTTACAAGAGTACTACTACTGTTTCCCTTTGGCTAATCTTACCCACTTACGGTTATTTCTCTAATTTGTGGCAATGAAATGACTCCAAATAGAATTTGCAGGTGCTCCTTTTTATGAGGTGATAGATTCACAGTGCCTGAAAGGGTTAGCACAGTCTAAGTAGTGGGTTGTAAATAAACTGTCCTAGAAATCATATTACTGATCTGCTCCTTCAAATCTACTTTGGAACTGGCTTAGACATAGTTTATACAAATAAATCATTGACTCCAACAATTCACTTTCATTCTTCTGAGTGCTACAGATTAATTAGCTAGGAGAATTAAAAAACGTATGAACCAAAGAACCAAACAACACTTCTCTTCTGTACACATTCAGAAATCTTTATTACTGTGAAGATAATAAAGAAGTATGAAAATTTTAAATGTATCATCAAATCCTCAACTTGACTCCAGGGAGCAATAATGATGCGAAATTTACCCAGAGAAGTCACCTATTTCCAGCACTTGCTTGCCACATAGAAATGTTTCTCCATATTTCATTTTACGTTTCAAAGATGGAAATATTCTTTTAATTACAAAGTCTTAATCTTATCCTAACCATCAGAAAAGGTATCAAGGTTCTCAGACATAACACTTGATTCAGTTGAATGTGAAGGACTTACCTGGTGGCCTGTTTAATTAGAGAACACACAGAGAACAGACTTCCTGGTCTCTCTGGAGGAAGATTATTTACTGAATACATTTTCTCTTCCCTCTGAAAATTAGTTTAAAGTGAAAAATCTCATTAATAATAAACATTGGCCATTATTACTCAGCTATTTTCTATTTACATATTTACATAGCGGCAAAGGAAGCAGTTATTTTAACTTAAAGCCTGTAATAGGTATAATCTAAAGAAGGTATTTCATGATGCTTTTCCATTTTCCCATTTTTCCTCTCTATTCAAGTTACATTCTCACAGCCTATAACTCACTGTCCAATTTAAATCTTGGTATACTTGAACTAACATGGTTATAAGCTCAGCTGGTGTGGCTCAGTGCTTGCATGTCAACCTAGGAACCAGGAGAGCACGGTTCAATTCCCAGTCAGGGCACATGCCTGGGTTGCAGGCTTAATCCCCAGTAGGGGGTCTGCGAGCAATGATTCTCTCTTATCACTGATGTTTCTATCTTTCCTTCTTCCTTCCTCTCTGAAATCAATAAAAATATATTTTAAAAAATTAACATGGTTACAAATGAATTTTTCTACTTATTAGCAGGAAACATCACATAAGCTTTTCCCTTGAGACCAAAAAAACCCAAAACCTAAACATCAAAAAATTATTTTACTTGAATGCATCTATCATTTTGTTATATTTTACTAATGGAATAACTATTACTACAGTTTATGGAAGATAATAGTATTTATTGTCTTGGTTTCTTGAATTTTAAAAACTTATCCTTTCTGCATTTCCTCTTTCTCAGACTCTGTAATGCCAGTGTTTGCCAGGACGCTGTCTCCAGCCTTCTCCTCTGACTGCCTGATTTCTTCTTGGGTTATTTCCACAAGGTTCAAAGCTCCTTCATAATAATTATAATAGCCATGGCTAATATTTATTGAATAGATCTGTGCTAGGTGCCTATTTTTATTTTTATTTTTATTTTTTTTAAAACATATTTTATTGATTTTTTTACAGAGAGGGAAGGAGAGGGATAGAGAGTTAGAAACATCGATGAGAGAGAAACATCGATCAGCTGCCTCTTGCACACCTCCTACTGGGGGATGTGCCCGCAACCAAGGTACATGCCATTGGCCGGAATCGAACCTGGGACCTTTCAGTCCACAGGCTGACGCTCTATCCACTGAGCCAAACCGGTTAGGGCAGGTGCCTATTTTTAGATGAGGAAAATGAGGCTCGAGGGCTAACAAGTAGCAGAGATCTGTTTTGAACCACAAGAGAGAACAGCCCATACTTTACCATCAGAATTTAGTGTATAGCAGGTACTCAAAAGTAACCTTTATCCTTTTATCCTGGACGGTGTACTTGAATATCACAGACATCTCAATTTTAACAAGTCAGAAATGGAATTATCTTCATTTCAAAATTTGCATTTTCTTCTCTACTTTGTATCTACCTCTGGCATGTCAATTATCACATGCTGTTCCCTCTACTCGGTTCCCTCCTCCATGGACTCCTTGTGTCTGACCAACTCCTACTTTCCCTTCAGTCTCAGGAAAGCCATGTGGAGGTCCCAGACAGGGTGAAATCCCCTAGTTATGTCCATAAGCACAGGGCCCTCTCTCCTGTTTCTTGGTTTTCATTTAGTTTTTATTTCATGTCTGTCTTCCCTTCCAGAATAGAGATAGCTTCATGAAGGTAGGGATTGTATTTGTTTTGCTTACCTTGGTATCCCCAGCATTTATTAGTAGAGTGCTTAGCACATGGCAGGCACTCAAAACATCATGTTTTAATTATTTATGTCTTTCTCTATTGGACACTGAGTTCCCTAAGTGTTCTTCTCTTTCAGCTATCCTACCTATTGCATCAGTTCTAAAATACTTATTTTTACAATTTAATCTCTCTGAAATTTGGAATCATCTTATAATTAAGAGTGTCTTATAATCACTACTAGAGGTCTGGTGCACGGACTTGTGCACTGGTGGTCCCTCAGCCTGACCTGCGGGTTTCGGGCCAAAACTGGCTCTCCGACATCCCAAGGGACCGGATTACAAGAGGGCACAGGCCAGGCTGAGGGACCCCATCGTTGCACGGACCCATGTCTAATAATAGACAAACATGGTAATTAACTGTAACTTCGCTACCCTTCCCATTGGCTAATCAGGGCGATATGCAAATTAATTACCAACTAAGATGGTGGTTAACCGCCAACAAAGATGGCGGCTAATTTGCATACATAGGCGAAATGATAGGAGGCAAAAGGGGAAAGACGGAAGAACGGTGGCAGGCAAGAGCTGGGGGGCGCCTTTGCCCGGCCCCCAGCCGGTGATCGCCATTGGAAAGCCAGGCAGCAGGCCAGGCCACACCCCCCGGCCGGGGGTGCCGGTGATCGCCATGGCGATCAGAGGAAGAGAGAGCCAAGGTGCAGGACCCCCGGGGTCAGGGGTGCCGGCTGGCCTGCGGCCCCCTGATCTGCGATGGCGAAGGGAGGGGCAGGGTCCCAGGCACAGCTGCACCCAGCAGACCAGGTGCAGCCGTGCCTGCGGTCCCCAGATCTGCAACTGCGAAGGGAGGGGTGGGGCAGCAGGCACGGCAGCACCCTTGGCACCGGGTGCAGGCCCAGGGTGCAGCCATGCCTGTGGCCCTCTGATCTGCCATGCGAAGGGAGGGGCAGGGCCACAGGTACAGCGGCACCCCAGATCTGCAATCGCAAAGGGAGGGGCAGGGCAGCAGGCATAGCAGCATCCTGGGCACCGGGTGCAGGCCCAGGGTGCAGCCGTGCCTGCAGCCCTCTGATCTACTATCACGAAGGGAGGGGCGGGGCCACAGGCATGGCGGCACCCAGGGCACCCAATGCTGAGGTGCTTGTGGTCACCTGATCTGAGATCAGGAAGTGAGGGGCGCCCCCGGATCTGCAATCGCGAAGGGAGGGGCGGGGCAGCAGGCATGGTAGCACCCTGGGCACCTGGTGCAGCCCCAGGGTGCAGCCATGCCTGCAGCCCCCTGATCTGTGATCACTAAGGGAGGGCTGGGGGCGCAGGCATGGCAGCACCCCGGGCACTCCAGCACCTGACATGCAAAGGTCGGGGATGAAATGACTTTTCCCAACCACATCTACAAATATCCTGGGGAAGGCATCACTCAAGAGTTCACAACAATTCTCTTACTTGGCAAGGAAGAAAAAAGTTGGCAAGGGAAACAATCCCTTACATTAAAGTTAAGGTCCCTCTGAGTAAAAAAGAGTATTTCCAACGTAAAGGAGGGAGCAGGCTAAAATAATAGGTTCTCATGACTTCCACTGAAGTTTGAGCATATGACAGAGTCAAAACGAACATACAAATTAAAACAGACAGTGGACATTCAAATGACCCAAATCAACTGTCACTGTTTGTCCCAATAGCAGCAATAATTATGTGATAATATAGTTTAACAGACATACAAAACAAGTCACATGATAAGAGAGGTTTGGCTTCTAAAGTAAATTGAATATGTTCTTTAAAAATTCTCATGTCCTCCCCTCTGACTATAATTCTTAATTTTCCAATCAGAAAATTACCCCAGGTGATCCAGCAACAGGTAGAACTTCAGTAACCTAACTTATTTAAAAAAACAAACATCCCAACCATTTTAAAAATATTTAAATCGATATTTTAGGGTTAAAATTATAGAAGATATTTAGATCCAAATATATTTTCTGAATAGAAAATATTTCAGTTTTTGATTTGAAAAAAATAAACATAAAAAAATATATAAGTGACACATTTTTCCAAGGAACTCTGAATTATTACCTTTCCCTCTAACTTTCTTCAAATTAAGAGAATCTATGGAGTTCCCTATACTGCACAAGTTTTAATGAAAGAAAATAAGACTTTCTAAGAGCATCAAATACATGTTTTGGTATTTACAAACATATATACTCCTCTCTCTCTCTCTCTCTCTCTCTCTCTCTCTCTCTCTCTCTCTCAAATATATTCTTACTGATTCAGAGAGGAAGGGAGAGGGAGAGAGATAGAAACATCAATGATGAGTCCTGGCCGGTTTGGCTCAGTGGATGGAGCGTCGGCCTGTGGACTGATGGGTCCCAGGTTCGATTCCGGTCAAGGGCATGTACCTTGGTTGCGGGCACATCCCCAGTAGGAGGCGTGCAGGAGGCAGCTGATCGATGTTTCTCTCTCATCAATGTTTCTAACTCTCTATCTCTCTCCCTTCCTCTCTGTAAAAAATCAATAAAATATATTTTTTTAAAAAAAGAAAAGAAACATCAATGATGAGAGAGAATCATTGATTGGCTGCCTCCTACACGCCCCATATTGGGGATCAAGCCCACAACCCGGGCATGTGGCCTCACCTGGAATCAAACTGTGACTTCCTGGTTCATAGGTCGATGCTAAACCACTGAGTCACACTGGCCGGGCTCAATTCTAATTTATAAATTCATTCCAAGGACATATACAGCTTGAAAAGCTTTGGAAGTAGTTTCAAAAAAACTAGTTTTTAAGTAACAAGAAAACAGTTATAGAAGAAAGTTTAAATTAAAAGAAAACATTGTTTTGATTTATTCAAGAGTGGGAACATCCTCCATGAAAATGTATACCTTGACTGTGAATGGCTGGGAGGCCTTATCACACCTTAGGAATTCAAATGCTTTTTACAAAGAAAAAAAAAGAGAGTTTCATCTCATTTCTCTACCAGGGTAGATGTCTGTCAATAGAAGGTGGACATCAATAAAAGGAGGGGCTTGCACAATCAATCCAGAAAGTCAGCAATCTATGAATAATCCAGAACCAAGTAATTATCTCCTCTGCCACACACCCTCCCTCCCAGCCAGTGAGCAAGATAATTACTCTCAAGTCAAGCTAAGTGCCCCCCAGTCACAGTGGCCCAATGCTGACATACAAAGCATACAAATAATTCTCACTCTGGCATAAAAGTGACAACTTTCTTGGAAGAAAAGCACATACTGTAAATTTCTCAAAGTCTTCCTGAAACATTTTTTTTTTAATATATTTTATTGATTTTTTACAGAGAGGAAGGGAGAGAGATAGAGAGTTAGAAACATCAATGAGAGAGAAACATCGATCAGCTGCCTTCTGCACATCTCCTACTGGGGATGTGCCCGCAACCGAGGTACATGCCCTTGACCGGAATCGAACCCGGGACCCTTCAGTCCGCAGGCCGACGCTCTATCCACTGAGCCAAACCGGTTTTGGCGTAAAACATTTTTTAAAGTAATTTTTACTTCTTTAGAAAAAATGCCATGGGAAACCATCTGTAATAAAACGCCCATTCTATAAAATAATTCATCTATACTAATAAAAGGATAATATGCTAATTAGGCTGGGAGACCTTCCAGATGTTCTTCTGGACAAAGCCATGGTGGCGGGGCCGAGGTAGAGGCGGTTAGAGGCTAAGAGGGGAGGGCAGTTGTGGGTGATCAGGCTGGTGGGAGGCAGGGCCATTGGGGGTAAGGAGACCAGTAGGGGGGCCAGTTGGGGACAAGCAGGCCATCAGTGGGGGTCAGTTGGAGGTGATCAAGACAGCAGGGGGGTGGGGCGCAGTTTGGAGTGAGCAGGCCAGCAGGGGGACAGTTGGGGATGAGCAGGCCACTGGGGAGGGAAGGTAGGGGCAAGCAGGCCAGCAAGGGGGTGCGGGAGTTGGGAGCAAGCAGACTGGCAGGCGGAGTGGTTAGAGGCAATCAGGCAGGCAGGCAGGCAGGTGAGTGGTTAGGAGTCAGCAGTCCTGGATTGCGAGAGGGATGTCTGACTGCCGGTTTAGGCCCGATCCCTGTAAACTGGCAGTAGGACATCCTTCGAGGGGTCCCAAATTGGAGAGGGTGCAGGCCAGGCTGAGGAACATACCTTCCCCCTGCACGAATTTTGTGCACCGGGCCACTAGTCTATATATATAAACGCCTAAACAACCATTACGACCGGTCGACCGAATGACCGGTTGCTATAACGACACACTTACCACCAGGGGGTAGACACTTGACACAGGAGCTGCTCCCTGGTGGTCAGTGTGCTCCCACAGCCAACCTCCTGCGGTCCCTCCCCACCAGCCAGCCTGCCTTGATCAGCCCCAATTGCTGGCCAGGCCGAGGAACCTCCCCTGTGCATGAATCTGTGCACTGGGTCTATAGTCTATCTATATATATATAAAAGCCTAAGCAACCATTACAACCAGTCGACCGAATGACCAGTTGCTATGATGACGCACTGACCATCAGGGGGCAGATGCTCGATGCAGGAGCTGCCCCCTGGTGGTCAGTGCACTCCCACAGCCAACATTCTGTGGTCCCTCCCCCCAGCTGGCCAACTTCCCGTGGTCCCTTCTCCCCTGCCAACCGGCTCCCAGATAGGCCCCGATCTGGACACACCCCCTCCCAATTTTCTATTTCTGTTCTAACTACTGAACAACAGCACTTTCATTTCTTTCAATATTCCACATTCGCCCCAGGCCCTAGTATCTCTGATAATCTTATCACTTACATGCCTTACTCTGTAATAGAGAAAGACAACGCTTTTATTGTATTTCATCCTGCAAAGCAAAGCCACGTGATACTATGGTGATGCCTTTGAATGGGTGATCTCAAATGTCAGGCTGAGCAAATTAAGAGTTATTAACAAAATATCCACATTATTACATTTTGATATGATATGTTAAATGTTATGTTTCACTATTTTCAACACCAGAAAACAATCTGTTCAACTTCTTAATTTAATATAAACATTTAGGAGTTAGGGGGTATTTAAAATATGCAAATAATACATGCTAGGGAAAAAAAATGTGCTTTTTAATTGACAAATATTAATTCAAAGAAGTATATTGATTCAAAGTAATGCTGCTGGTTTTAGTATTTCCTATTAATACATTCTATGACAGAAGAAATGTAACTGCTGATTTAACATAATTGCTTAGGTGAATGGAAGACAGAATACAGGATGATAATACAGTAAAAATAAGGTGGTTAATAGTTATTGTGCCAATACTGGCAGTAAGGTTGTATTGATTGTTCAGACTAAGTAGTAGCAAGCAATGTTATATAGAGATCAAATTTTCCAAACATATTCACAATTATTTAGAAACAGCAATAGACCAAAAATCTTGAGTGGAGATCTCATTGTCCACCTACCTCTTCTGATCCTTCTTGAATGGAATAGTATGTAAAATAGTTCCCAAAATAAGCTCCTTCTGATTTGAAAACAGATCCATCTCCAGGATAAATCTCTATTGAGTTCACATTTTTATGGGTAAGTCTATGGAAAAAAACAACACAAGAACAGAAAGAAAAAAAAGCAAAGAAGTATAATTTTTAACCTATCAGCAAATGGATAATTTCATACTCTGTTCCTCCAGTCAGCTAAACTATTTTATTTTTGGCAAAAAAATGAACAGAACACCCAGAATTGGTGGATCTAAGCTCAGCTTCTAGAAGTGAGGCATCTTCCTTTATTACCCTGGTATCCCTCCAGCCAATCACAGTAGCTGTCTATAATGGTCACCAAAGCAGTGCTCATTGCATAGGAGTTAAATATAACAACTCTACAACCTGAAAATAAGATTATTCTTTAATAATAAAACTAGCAGAATCAATACCTGATGATGAGATTAGCCATGTAGAAGGAGCTATCCCTCAGAGGTGACTTATTGTACCTGAGTAGCCATGTACAATCAAGGTATTGGGTATATAAGAAATAAAGATATAAGCCAAGTCAGTTTCATTGAAACATGTATGGAAAATACTAGTACGCTGTCGGTAACAGGTGGGTCCTCGTGCAGGAAAGGAGAGCCCGAGAGCAAACAGTTCCCAGTGCTCGTCAGCACCGTGTACAGAGTGAGCCTCTCATCTGGCCGGCACCGGTATTCCAGTCCCCAGAGAGGCAGGGTTACTCACTGAAATAGTGCAGCACAGAGCAGCCGCTCGGGGAGGATCTGCTGAGTGAATGCAGGCTGAAATCTCCCTTAGGAATCTAATGTCTCGATTCCATGCTCACCAGGCACCTTCTGATGCGACTAATTCAGACAACCAGATCCCCCAGGCTTGGAAGGCGTGGCTTAAATAGCTGCCATGTGTATCTCATTCACTAGCAAAACTAACCCCTCGCTGGCTTCGGAGCTGTCACAAAAATCTTGTGAATATGATTAATGTGAATTAGTAACAAGAACCCTGTGTGTCCAAATATAATGAGGGTGTTGAGACCTGAAACCTCAGGGCCAAGCACAGGAGCATGGTGGCGCTGCCAAACTGTATTCTCTTGTACTTGATCTGCAAGGCTAGTCCCGTCCCCTGTGACATCACTACACAGCTCCAACGCCAACACAGGTGCCTTACCTGTACGTAATACCCTTGTGCCAGACCACTTTCACTAGTTCAGCGTAGGAATATTCTTCTTCATCAGACTGCCCCTGTGAAAGTGAATCACAGAAAGTCCACCTGTGAAGGATAAAATACAAGTTATGGATTCTGGTTGTTCAACAAAATTACCTTGAGAAGTCAACAAAATAGTGTGACTGTAGTAAGATTTATTCCTTGCTTAACTAATTAGATCAAAAAAGTAAAAATATGAAAGTACATTACATTTTAAAATGTCTTATTTTCCATGCATTTTCAATAATCTCACTATTGAATCTCAGCAGAATCACCTAAATTAACAATTTTAGTAATCTTTAAAATTCAGGATTTGAACAACAAATATTTACTGATGTTCCTATGGTGGCCAGGCACTGTAAATGCACTGGGGATATAACACCCAAATAAAGCAAACATGGTCACTGATGTTAGACAGTAAACATTGACATAAAGAAAGGGGAATTACTGAACACTATAGGATTGTGTAAGAACCTCATCCTGTCTAGGGACTTGGGGATAACCATCCTCAGGAAGGAAGGCTGACTCGGAGACCTGGACATGAACATGAGTTAGCAGGAGTGCTCCTGGCAGAAGACAAAGCGGGCGCGGTGGCAAATGATAGCTTGGGCAAACTTTCCAGGGCCTGCAAGAGTAGAGTGGTGAGCTAGTGGAGGACTACAGACATGGGAAGGGACCAGAAAATGCAAGGCCTGTTAAGCCATGTTTAAGGGTAATAGGTTTCAATCTAAAGCCAGTGGCAAGTTATTGAAAAATTGTTGATTTAGAAGCATCAATCTCTTTTGATGCATACTTATAATACTGGATTTTCCTATCTTAAACAGATAATCATGACATGCCTGAAAACCATTCCCATATTTTATTTGAGTAACAGATATGTACTTAGAGACTACCTGGGATCAGACCCTAATTCTCCAAGTACAAGTGTGAGACTTTGCTCAGGGTTTTTAACATCTCTGTGGCTCAAGTTCCTCCACAAAATGGGCTGATAAAAGACAGTACTTACCTCATGGGTTACTATGGGGATGAAACAGCATGCCTAGCACATACTGAGTGCTTGGCGTTAGCTATTTTTGTTATTATTGCACTACTTATGCAAAGTTCCTGTTACAAATCTATCATCATTAGGTTATTCATCTGTTAGCGGAGGTCAAAGGTTTTTACCTAGCCATCCATGCCTACCCCTTTGACAATGGACATATTTACATCAACCAAAGAGAGAGACGGCCTCGGAGGCCAAGTGTGAAAGAAAGAACCCATGATCATAAACTTGTCAGATCTACACTCCAGCAACCATGGGAACAGGCTCCACTGAGTGGCAGCAGATGCTCCCCAGGGGTCTGCACAGGTGCCTGGGCCATCCCTTACCACACTGTAATAATCATCTTTTCAGCAACAGTGACCCTCACTAGACTCTAAGCTCCTAGAAAGCAGGGACGGTGTCTCAGTCATCTCTGTAGTCTCTGTGCTTAACGATGTATCTAGTACAGTCGGCCTCCCATAAACATTCATTCCATGGACACAGAGTTAAGAAACAAGCAACACATTTGCTAGGCAAATTATTTACTATTAGTTTTAAACAAGGTTGGATGAACCGAATGAACTTTCCTTATGACTGGTATCAGATGACTTAGAAATTCTGACACAGTATCTAGAGGAGGACTGGTTCTGACATTACCTGTGCAGGTGTGGGACAGGACAGCTGAGCAGCAGGGCCCTGGGAAGAACAGAAATCTCTTTTCCTCTTTCCTCTGCAGCAGCAGACGTTAACACTGTACTCTGGGGGAGAGTTACATCAGTTCCAGACATATTGCTGATTTTACTATGAAAGCGAAGTGCTAAAGACAGAGGGTATTTCCATTCCTCCGGACAGGAGGCCACAGAGCAGCGCTGCTCTACCCACGCGTGGACACAGCTGTGCTTGGGACCAGGCAAAGGCAGTGCCGCCTCCCCCTCAGTTCTGTTCCCACGAGGCTTCTCCTCTGAAGGTCCTTTGGGTTTCACGACCTGACAGTGAAGTTCGTTTTCTTTATTCTTCTGTCTCTGTCCTGGTAAACTTCCATACGCACGGGTTCTGTCCGCTTTTCCTACTTGTTCTTTTGGGGCCTGATTATTTTTTTCTGACAATACTACAGATGAGCCTGGCTTCTGGCTCACTTTACACAAAAAATGTACTGTAAATTCCTGCTGAGATTTGGGCAGACAGAGGTATGCATGACCATCTACAGATGGTACCTTCACGGCGCCACTCTGCATGCATATCATGCCACCGTCAGTACCAAGACTGGGCCATCTCACTTCTGGGATGTCAATGAGGATACGCTGAGTTGAGGGGAGGGAAAAGAGGTGGTCAGTATTTTCTGTTAACAGACCAAATTTTCCATACATCTGGTACCTACAATTGTGTAAGAATGCTCTTGAAGTTTTATGTTTTACTACCTAGACAGAATGAAAAAGAGAGAGCCAGGTGTCAGCCCAATATATGGCTTTTCAGAGAATATTTGATATTGTTAAGATTATCTCTTTACAGAGATAAAACACACACACACACACTGAAAAAAAATGAGAAAAGAAAAAATCATCCTGATTATATCTAGTGTTAGACATATTTTTTTAACGTACAATGAATCAGAGATACTTAGATTTTGAGTCCCTCTCAAAATTCTACTCTCAAAAAGACTATCAACGTCTATAGCACTATAATGCACTATATTAACTTGAATGGTATGAAACTAGCATAAAAATAATTGGCAGAACCACCCAGAGAATACAGAAACAGACTCAAGATATCTTAAAATGTTACATGTGACAGCATAAGGTTTCAAAACAAGGGGGAGGGGAGAGTTATTCAATAAATGGTACTGAATGATTGAACAGCACTAGGGACATGTTCTCTCAAAGGGTTATGACCTGGACTAAAGTACCTGTCCTAGATACACCAGACCCTAAAATAAATATCAGGTGACATAAAGAGTAACTTGTTAAAATATATATATTTTTTATTGATTTCAGAAAGAAAGGGAGAGAGAGAAACATCAATGATGAAAGAGAATCATTGATTGACTGCCTCCTGCACGCCCCATACTGGGGATCGAGCCCACAACCCAGGCATGTGCCCTGATAGGGAATCAAACCATGACCTCCTGGTTCATAGGTTGACGCTCACCCACTGAGCCATGTGGGCTGGGCAAGAGTAACTTTTTAAAAAACTGAATTACTCAAAGGTAAATGGATACTGATCAATAGCAAACAGACTTGTAACAGTAACGGTGCCTGATGCATCTTTTCATGTAAGGTAGAAACAACAGGTATCACGAAAGTCTTGTAATTAGTTAATCTTGCCAACAGCTATCCATTTCAACTTCCATTTATATAAAACTTGAAATTCACAAAAACCATTGTCGGAAAGCCTCTTAAATTTATAGTGCTACGTCAGTACACTAAAGTTAAGGGCATTATTCATTAATAGTCAAGCTGGTCTATAAGGATGATGGTTCAAAAAGTTCCATCTTTTAGAACTAGACTGTCTGATAATCCAACAAGATATCCATTTTTAATGAATAGTCACTCCAATAGATACAGTGGGAAAACAGCCTTGTAGACCAGGTTCCAGCTTACAATTTTCCAAGGCTTCTTTGTCATGCGACAATGTAATAGAAAACCACTCTACAGGCAGGCAAGCATCGTGACAGTAGCAGAAAGTGGTTAATAGACACACAGACTGGGTTCAAATCCTGACTTTGCCACTAAGAAACTTTCTATGGACAAGTTAGGGAAACTCTGAGACTCAGTTCCTGTCAAAAGGAGCGTATCCAGCCAATATGCCTTTTCTGACTGTTCGGACTCCAATTTTGATCACCAGGGACTCAAGGCATGTGGTGCTAGCAAATATTTTTAATATCACTCCCCGTTCGTGGCACACAGTAAGCCCTCAATAAATGATAGTGATTTTATTCCTAAAAGTTCAAAATAGAGTGAAAGCAAAAAGAATAAAATTTGCATACCCATAGGTAACTGCATATCTCTATTACACATTAACAGATAAATATTCATAAGCTACTAAAAATATCCACATAATCTCTTAATTTTCACACCTCCAAGAATCAAAAAGTCACCAACCTGAAAAGCTCTACATAGAATCTTTGGCTACAAAGAAAAAGACAGGGTAATGAATTATGTAACTTCTGTGTCTCAATGAATATATACAAAACATGAGCACTCTAGTGTGGTGAATGCTAAGTCACTATGCATTCATTCTACAGCAACATGTCTATTCCCAAGTGTCATGAAGAAAAAGGCCAATTATTAAACTACCTATTTCTAATTGCTTGCCCTCAAATCTTACTCACAAAAATTATTTTTTAAAAAAATTACCTTTTTTCTTTCAGGAGGTATAATGCTTTCAGATAAAAAAGGGCAAGTGGCGAAAGCGTTTCGAAAATCTAGGGCTCTCTGTAGTTGCTCCTACAAAAAGATACAAATGTAATCTTAAAAACATGACTGAAAATCCACTTAGTATGAAGCAATCCTGCATGCTAATTACTTCCATATTCCACCCACCTCAACAACATTGAACGAGCAACGTTTGCGTCATCTTTACTTACTCGGTAAGTGCTAATAACAAAGTGTGTCCTCTGACGAATTCTTTCTGGTTGTTCTAAAGGATGTGCTGAAACAGGAGGTGCTTTTTCAAATAAAAATTCCGAGCCACAGGGAGAAAGCTGCAGTCTGGAGCCATCAGCGTACTGTACTTGCACAGAATCGTCTTCATAAAGCACCATTCGCACTTCAGCCGCCATCAGGATGACGATGGGTAATGTCCTTCCAAGGCAAAGACTGACGGAAATAGGGAACAGTAGCACCGATAGTTCTCTTAACGTACAAAAGTTCTACCCAAATAAGCTGGTGCGTTTTCTAAGAACATAAGTAAAACATACTGCCATTGCATTTACTTTTGTTGGAGGAAAATTTATCTTACTGGACACACTTAAATGATTTGAAATGAACATTCCTGACAGAGTGCCTTGAGGAACCCCTAAGGCTTTACTCCAGGGTGGAAACATAACAGAGAGGTAGAAGACAGTCCACCACGTTATAACTGCCTGTATAATTTTAGTGGCTTTACTTCTCCTGAGGTTCAATGTCAGAAAATTATATCTTTAGTATCTCATTTCAAATAACAAGCAAATTCCACCTTTGCAATAAGAATACAGCAAATCACTTGTAATACATGGAAAGGGCAGGCCAAAAGTAACGATTAGGTCTAAAAGAAAAGCATACATACCTGGATTCTTGTCCCTAGCCCGGCATTAAAGAAGTACCTTCAGCCCTAGCCAGTTGGGTCAGTGGAGAGAGCGTAGGCCTGCGGATTGAAGGGTCCCAGGTTCGATTCTGGTCAAGGGCACATGCCCGGGTTATGGGCTCGATCCCCAGTAGGGAGTGTGCAGGAGGCAGCTGATCAATGATTCTCTCACCATTGATATTTCTCTCTCTCTCTCCCTCTTCTTTCCTCTCTGAAATCAATAAAAATATATTTTTTTAAAAAAAGAAGTATCTTCATGTCACTACTGAAAATGCTAATTAACCTCCTAGGTCTTAGTTTCATCCTCATCTCACTCATTTCAATTTCCTCTTCTCCACTTCTAAAGTGACTCTGTGTCTTCAGCTATGCTTTCCATATAGGTATGATGGAAATGTAATTAGAGGATGGGTTCTATTCATACCCACCATTTACCAGCTATAAGCTAGGTCCTTTGTTTCCTTATCTATAAAATGGGAATAGTGACAGGATTGCTGTGAGGATTAAATGAGACAACACATATGACACTACCTAGTATTATGAATGTAACTTTGTAGAATCTCAATAAAAGTTGCTCCCAACCACCTCCCAGTCACTTTTAAAAATATATGTATTTTATTGTGGTTTTTTTTTTTTACAGAGAGGAAGGGAGAGGGATAGAGAGTCAGAAACACTGATGAGAGAGAAACATCGATCAGCTGCCTCCTGCACACTCCCCACTGGGTATGTGCCTGCAACCAAGGTACATGCCCCTGACCAGAATCGAACCTGGGACCCTTGAGTCCGCAGGCCGACGCTCTATCCATTGAGCCAAACCGGTTAGGGCTCCCAGTCACTTTTTATCCACGTCATCTTCTTCCTTCATGGCATCTAACCGCTGTCAGAACTGATTTTATTTATTTATTCTTTTTTTTTTTTTTTTTTTGGTCTTTTCCCACTAGGATATAAACTTACATCAGAACAGAGACTTTGTTTTATTCACAGTTGTACCCCTGGCATATATACTTGGCAAATAATAAGGGTGGAACAAAGATTTACTTAATGATGAAAGAATAAGTAAATTTTAGAAATCTTGCTTTTCTTGAATGTGCAGTTTGAGTTAATGGTATCTCAATGTTAGCAATATTTGACATCTCACTCTCTTTCCCTCCACACTCTTGTAACAAGTCCTGTTGATTTTGTCTCTCATGAACCTGGCTCCTCCTTTTCTGCTTCAGGCCATCAACTCTCCCCTCATTTCCTGTAACTATTCTAGGACCTTTTTCCAGCCTCTTGCCCCTCCAACCCATTTCCAGTATTGCTGTCATAGGTAACTTTCACAACCCAGCCCATACCAACCCCTTTACATCACTTGTCTACATACTTGTTAAATGGCAATAAATATTCATAGCCATATATGGGGTGTCCTCCCAACATGTACACAAACACTTTGAATGATTATAAAGGCTGTGCTTATTAAAATACATTTCAGTTTCAAAAGTGAGCTATCACCTGTTAAGGTGTGTATACATTTTTGGGGGGGACAACCTATATATATATGATGTCTACTTGCTATTTCAGGAAACAAAAAAACAAATAAACAGATGCATATAAAAAAGGAAGAAAACATTTTCTGGTAACAACTGGGAAAATGTCTCTATGTTGGGCCTAGTTATTTATTTTTTATAAACAGCTTAATCAGGTGTGACTTTCTTAAAAATTAAAAGCAGCCGAAACCGGTTTGGCTCAGTGGATAGAGCGTCGGCCTGTGGACTGAAAGGTCCCGGGTTCGATTCCGGTCAAGGGCATGTACCTGGGTTGCAGGCACATCCCCAGTGGGAGATGTGCAGGAGGCAGCTGATCGATGTTTCTCTCTCATCGATGTTTCTAACTCTCTATCTCTCTCCCTTCCTCTCTAAAAAATCAATAAAATATATTTAAAAAAATAAATAAATAAAAAATAAAAATTAAAAGCATACACAAGAGACAGTAGAATGTATAAAGTTTCTGGCACATCATAAATCTGCCCCAGTCCACATTTCCAGCCACAACTGTCTTACTGTTTGTTTTCAACACTCAGCACATTATGTCTGTTTAACGATCAAAAAGCCTTAAGTCTGTTCTTGACATCAGCGGGAACCTGGCTTTTCCAAAATGCCGTATCTAGTTGCAATAACAAATTCACCTAAGCAACCAACGTTTGAACTCACAGCAGTTCTGAGCTGAAAAGTCGTGGAAACGAGGCCCATCAACCGCCCTTGCGCTTTGATTTGCCAAGTGGCTCGAACCGCAGCGTCTGCGCCTGCCCACGACGGCTTCTCGAGGAACTGTTCTTAATTTTAACATGTGAAGCTGCTCGATGGAAAACAATCACAACCGCAGGGCCAGGAGGACCCGGGTCTGAGTAGCTGAGCAGGGGGAGCGCCAGCGAAGACCCCGAAGGAAAACACAGGCAAACAACAGCGATTCAAACCTTCGCGCCCCGCGGGACGAGCCAGGCCGGAAGTCCCGCCCCTGCCGCGCGCGGAGCAGGAAGGAACCGGAAGTGGGGAAGGCGTTTCGGGGGAGAGGGTCCCGACCCAGAATCTGGTCCTCTCCTCTTCCGGTTTTACTTCCGGTGCCCCACACAGACCCGGTCCGACCGGCTGTGGTGAAGCCCGTGGGTCGAGCGTCGTGAGGGTCCGGCGAGCTCCCGGCGCGGGGGTGTTGGGCAGTGACGCCTGTTTAAGTCATTGAACGACAGTGACACCTCAGTGAAGCTGTTGAGGAAGAACCTGGCCAAAGGCGGAGGCCTTTCCTTCTAAGTTGGTGTCCGGGAATTGGTCTCAGCTGTGTCTCTGCCTTTATCTGAACAGCGAGTAGACCGGACTGCCCACTTATGTCACTACACGGGTGGTAGGGTCCCCAGCGACGGGCTGGTGCGAGGCGCGCGGGGGGAAGGCGGGACGGAGCCAGTCGAGGGTGGCAACTAGAGTAACGGCAGGAGGCGACCCGACAGTAACCTGATCAGGTGGTGGTAAGTGTCCGGAAACAAAACGCGGAGGTCTGACCGCAGATAACCGGTAGACCCAGCCCGGGCGGAGGAAACACCCCCGCTGACATACAAAGGGTATTGAAACGCGAACACGGAACGGGAACGCCCTGGGTTCCCGGTTCTTGTCTCGATGGTTTCGAAGCAGGAAGCCACGGGCGGAAGGTGGTCGGTGAAAAGCACAGACGCTTTATTGCAGGCAGACTCTGCCTGCACAACCTCATTCTAAGTTCGGAGCCGGAGACCCCGTCCGCCTGCACGGACAGAGGCCCCTGGGAAGGGTGGCCGCTGCTCTCTGTCTTTGGCATTAAATAGGCTGCAGCTCTTCGTCTGCACCCGACCCCTTCTTACTGGTCATGGTGCTACAGTTGGTTCCGAGCTCAGGGCCCACGTGGCGCCCCCCCCTTCTCCCCCCTTCCCCTGTTGGCTGGAGCCCCTTTGATGCATCTCTCGGCTCTGCCGGGTGTTGGAGAGAAGGCCTCTCATGGCCCGCCCAGCGACTCGGGTCAGGGCTACTTTGGGCTTAACTTACGGTCACTTTATCGGCTCAGGCCCGCGATGCCTTTTGGTTTAGGATATATTCCTATTTGCCTATTCCATGTCTCTACTCTCTGTACAAGTAAGATACACACCCTGGCGCCTTCAAGTCTCCGTTATGTATTCCTTCCCCCACAGACCCCTTCTTATCCTAAAACGTCCTAAACCTGCCTAGTTAAACTAGCGAGCTAACCCGCTCTGAACTAGCCAGGAGAACAGTGTCCAAGCTGGGGTAAGAGCCTGTGGTAAGGCCCTGAGGCCAGAACACCAGTTTGGTTTAAGGATGTTGAGAGAGAAGAGAGAGGCCTTCAGGGCAGAGAAGCCTGAAATGCAGCTACGAGGTAGGCAGGGGCAAGATCAGTAGGAATTTATGGGTGATGGACTTTAGGTTAAAAACAACGGTAACTATTCTAAGGGCTTTGAGCAAAGTTGGCAGCACCAAGGGATGAGAAATCTAACTCCTTAAATTCATCTCCATTTTTTAAAAGACTGATATGCAAACTGACCTCTGCCTTATGTAAAGTATAACAAGGGCATCCTTAGACAATCCTGTTTTCATTGATCTGTGACTCCGGTTTGTATTACATGGGGCTAACTTAAGTCCTATCCCTCTCCCACCTTTTCCCTCTCCAGTATCTTAGAAACTCCCATATGTGAATTGCTTACAACGGAGGGGTTTGTGATGCCATTTGTACTTTAGAAATATTCCGGGAACTGCTGCGTGAAGAATGGATTGTCGGATGCAAGAGCATATGTGGGAACCCAATAGGACGCTTTTGAAAAACAAACGAGAGATGAAAATTCAGACTGGGCAGTGAGAATGGAGATCACAGCTCCAAGAAATGTTTAGATAAACTATATAATCTTGGTAATGATTGAATGTGAGTGTTTGAGGGGGAGGGTAGGAGTTAAAAACAGTTTCAGGTATTTAAGTATTTGTGCTTTTTTTTTCCCTGTGAAGCAAGTCATCAGTTAGGGGCGGATCGAGTGGAGAGGGTTGAAAAGAGGAGTGAACAGTAAGATAATGCAGTGCTGACAGCCCATGACTGTGAGTTTACAGGGGTACAAACCTACCAGAAATATGACCTCCAGCTGTCTGCCTGCAGTCAGTGTAGGGTTCATCCAGGTTTGGCGTCTGGCCAGGCTGATGTGAATGGCAGTAGTGTACATGACCTTAAATTATTTATATCTGCTAAAGTCAGCCGAAGACCCCTAGGCTCAAGCCTGCAGTTTGACAAAATCATATTGACTGACTTGTAAGCAAGGGCTCACTCGAAAGGAGCCATGAGTAGCACCCACTTCTGGGCGAGGTCTGGGTTCCTGCTGCGGGATGCTGAGCAGCTCTGAGGGAGACCAGATGTGGGCTGGATGCGGTTTCTGCAGCAGGACTAAGAGGAGGCTGGATGTCTCAGGAGCGAGGGCAGTTTAGCAACTGCAGTCGTAATAGGTGGGTGAGGGTAGCTAGTAAGTCTGGAGGTGTCACTGTCAATGTAACAGAGGTCACACAAAGAAAGAAGGGGTCATGACATTTCATAGCTGCTGCATGACCTCGGGAGAGACCGCGTTTCTGCTAACTGCGTCTGCCCGCCCAGCCTGGTTAACAGCAGGGCTTTTCTTTTTTTCTTCAGTTTGAGCCAAATTTCAGTCCTTCCATCCTGGACTTCTCACTTTCATACCAAGCCAAGCGTCCTCCTCTCTTGCTAAATGTGACTATTTTTAAGGAACAAATTACAATTTAACCTATACCTATCTGTCCCCCAATAAGATTTAATAAAATATCCAATCATAGAATTGTCCCCGCTTTCTGATAACATCTAGAGTAAACCTCATTTCTTAGATCCTCTCCCAAATTATCCAACCAAAGCCCAAACCCTATAATAGGTTATTTCTAACTCCTCTTAGTGACACAACCCACAATTCGCCATGGTGTATATTCTTCCTTACTAACCCAGCAAGTGCAGGAACAGCTGTATTCTTGGTAGTCTTTGGCTGAAGGGCACTGCAAGCACAGACAGAGGGTCTGAGTTGTTGACATGACGGCCAGGTTCAGACCAGTATTTGTACTTTATTGCCAGAAGACTATGGCATCCACGGGAGACTTGCACAGATAATCCTGACAAAAGACTTACCCATATTTCTGTAGACACGGCCTAAAGGCCAACAAATGTAGCACAGGACCAAAGTTTCCTTTATGTACTGTTGCAGTGTTAAAGCATGGCCTTCCTTGATGGCCTCCTATTTGCTATGGGCTTACCAACATCTCCAGTCATCAGCCATGTGAGTGAAGAACACCCCGGGGGATTACATCCCTGAGTCCTTAGTTTTCCCAGCTGAAGCCTCAAACATTGTAGAATCGATAAAAGCCATCCCTGTTGTGCCCTGCCCAAATTCCTGAGCCACAGGACCCATGAGCGTACTAAATGCGTACTGTGTGAAAACACTAAGTTTGGGTGGTTTTTAAGCAGCACCAGTAACTGGAACATATACTGACTCAGTTGGAGGCTGTTATTAGTAGAGCAGGGGTAATGACGATGAGCTAGTGGACAAAACTGGATGTTATTCACAGAGCAAATGCTATAAGTTTAAAGCATTCAGTTAGCATATACTTGGCCCCTGGTCTAATGTCCTGCCCCTTCCCCACACCACCTTCCACTGCCCCTGAGCTATACAGTGAGCACAATCTTTAGAGAACTGCAGGTTAAGGTAATAGCCACCTTGTTACAGGAGCCATTTGGAAAAAAAAAGAGTTCTATTACAATTTCCAAAACCCCCAATTGCATATGCTGGGTGGGGCAAAAATAGGTGCACAGTGGTATGTGAAACAGAGTTCATTCTTGTATTATTTATTAATTATTGTATTGTTTTCCATAGGAATAACTGTACACCTACTTTTGCCCCACCCTGTATATTTCCCTTTTGCAACGAAGAATCTAAAAGTTTCAATGTTTTACATTTGCTAGTTTTTCCAACTAGACTTGTTAGTGAACTGAATTCTTACTAAAAAGACATTGAATAGAGTATCTTCTATCCTAGTAGTTTCTCTGATTTCAAATCATAATTTTATGTCATATAAAAAAGTTCACAACAGATTCTTTACAATACCAGGATACCACTCCAAAAACTTAGAGGAAACAAAACTATTTCAATTTTATTTTCAAAGACTAATTTTAATCCAGACTGAACAAACAAGCAGAAAAGTGGGAAAGCTAACGGCAGTAGCAGACACAGGTGTACCAAATGTGAAACAGTGGGTTATTAACAGAACTATTTACATGCATATTTACAAGCAATCCTTTTGTACATAAGCTTTACTTGTCGTTAGTTGGAAAAAGATTTTTGACATTTGGTAAAAATAGGACTGAGGTGATACCACATTATAGTAAAAGTATTAGAAAAGTGATCCTCAAGGTGTATCAATTACAAAGCAGATGAAAACTTGAGTGACAAAGATCTAGCAAAATTCTCTAGTAAAAAAGTCAATGCAACGCATGCTACCAAATAAAAATGAGAAAGCCATATAAAGAAAGTAGAATAATGTCCTGGGCTGTGGGGTAATGAAATCAGATGAAAAATTTGAACAATTTAGAATTGCAATGTATCCTCAGTGAAGACTCTTGGTTGTTTAGTTGGAAGTTCTAACTCTATTTTAAAAGCCCTTGGTATCAAATAACATCTGGATATGTAAATAAATTAATTATATATTCTAAGACTTTAGTGCCAGAGATTTTTATGATTGTGATTCATACTTGAAACCCAATTCATTGAGACACTCAATGTAAAACTAAATGAAAGCTATATACTCATCTCTTAAAAAAGGATGCTACATTTTTGCAGTAATATGTATTTCCACACTAAGACATTTTCCTTCGAGAAAAGCTGAATTTAAAGGATAAGCTTCTAATCAGCTAGCAAAACTTACTTTCAACATTTCATTTATTTCAAAATCGATTTTATTGCAGCCAAAACAGTGGAATTAACTGTACATAATAAACTATCTTATATATATACACATTTTAAGTTATAGGGGATAAAGTTTATTTTGGCAGAGTGTTAAACAAAATTAAAGTTGCATACATTAGTAACATAACTCAACATCCTTAATTTGGTATAAGTGTGACACATTTTCCTGCTTTCCTGTGTTCTGCTAAGTCACCATAACCTAAACTGCTTTATAAAACTGATACGTTGAAATTTGACTTTACTGTTTTTGCTTACGCTCTGATTCCAAACAAAACTTTTCATAAGCTTCTTCTATCTCTGGGTCCATCTCATCATCAATATCATCCAAGTATCTGTGAAAGAAGCAAAGATGACTCATAAGCTTAATGTTTTTCCATGCAGAAAATGTGTAGGCCTGACTGGTATGGCTCAATGGTTGAGCACTGACCT